CTTTCTGGCCCACTATGCCCACTCTTATCCGTAACAAATCGTACCCCTGGGTTTTGGTGACTCTTTTTGGCCCACTCTTAACAAGGCTCTTTCTCGCCCATTCTTACCCCCGGGTCTCGGTAGCTCACTCTTATCCGTAACAAATCGTACCCCGAGTGGCTCTTTCTGGTCCACCCTTATCCGGAACAAATCGTACCCCCGGGTCTTGGTGGCTCTTTCTGGCCCACTCTTATCCGTAACAAATCGTACCCCCGGGTCTTGGTGGCTCTTTCTGGCCCACTCTTACCCGTAACACATCGTACCCCCGGGTCTGGCCCCACTCTTATCCATAACAAGGCTCTTTCTGACCCATTCTTATGCATAACAAATCGTACCCCCGGGTCTTGGTGGCTCTTTCTAGCCCACTCTTATCCGTAACAAATCGTACCCCCGGGTCTTGGTGACTCTTTGCTCTTTCTGGCTCACTCTTATCCATAACAAGACTCTTTCTAGCATATTTTCACCCTTATCCATAACAAGGCTCTTTCTGGCCGACTCATATCCACAACAAATCCTACGCCCGGGTCTCGGTGGCTCTTTCTGGCCCACTCTTATCCTTCTCCGTGACAAATCGTACCCCCGGGTCTTGGTGGCTCTTTCTGGCCCACTATGCCCACGCTTGCCTTGGATGCGTTGCATGCGTTGAGTGCATTGTGTGCGCGGTGTTTGTAGGTTGTTTGTGCGTCGCTTGCGCGTTGTTTGTAGGCTGTTTGTGCGTTATTCGTTGTTTGTGCGTTGTTTGCACGTTGTTTGTACATTGCGCCCCCCACACGCTGATCTGATAAAAAAACTATTATGATTGCTTTGACCACTCTTGTATCATGATTACGACTACGATTACAACTATCACTGCTGCCACGACTGTTATAGTAGCAGCAATGCTTTTGACTATATAATGACTATGCTTTCACACTGTCATTGGCCTGAAAAGTGTTTTGTCGTGAGCAGGACCGGATTGTTGATACCTCACTTCATGAGTTCTGTCATGCTGTGAAACTTCGTAGCAGCTTCGCCCTTTTGCGACGCATCGCACCGCTCAGTCTAGGCAGTTTTCTGTAAACTCTCCCTGTTCATTCATCTTCCTCGGCCAGCACGTCCAACCCTTCCGATTAGTTGTGCAGTCAGAATCGCACCAACGTGCGGTGCCTCTGCCGCCGTTCTTCTTGCATATGCCCAAGGTGGCCTTCGCAAAGTTTGATGAAAGCTGACAGGCGCAGCAAGGTGAATAAGTCTCCTCGTCCTCAGCCCTTTCATGCTTGAGAATAATATGCTCGGTGGCCTTTGTCACTGCTCCTTGTCGCACTGCCGTCGCCTGGATCAAGAGCATGGTGATGAACGCTGCGACCCTCATCTTGGCGCAATGACGAATTGGACAGACAGTTATGATGCTTGAACCAAACAAGCAGCAACAAGTCAACGCGGAAATTCATGGCATCATGGGGTACAAGGGTTCGAGGGCAATGGCACCTTGCGTCGCATGTGCACTGACCAGTGCTACAGCATCGCCTCAGCGCAACTGCTACTATTATGGTGTACCGTTATTGCTATTATTATTTGTAAAATAGCTACTCATATTCTAGCCAGTAAGATATTATTCAAATGACACTAGTATCATCTGTATTGTTATCGTTCTTTGAACTATGTAGAACCCATATGACAAAGACGCGGCCTGTACGCACAGTTGCCGTTTCTCTCTCCGGCTAGGATCCTTTACCCAACTGAACTTGCTTTTCAGGACCCTCAAAACACATGATTATTACTTTTCATATCTTTTCTACTAGTAATACTTTTGTTGTAGCAATTCCCCTAAACCCTCAATGTATTATCTTGAGCAACTATCGCGCAGCTTGGACCTTTTGGGCTGGCACTTCACACGATAAGAAAAAGCGTCCGAGCGACATCCCCTCGAGCGATTGCAAGCTGAGGTAGGTTCCCCCCGTAGGTTTCCTGCGGTGCTTCAGCTATAGGAGCAATGGCTGCGCCGGACCCAACGGCCCTCGTGGCAGCAGCGGTCCGCGCAGCAGCGGTCGTCTCTGTCCTCATGAGACCCGCGGAGGCTGCTCCGAGCACGGTCCGAGGTGAGACTGCCAGAGACCCTGCGGCCCCCGAGGCCGTTGTGGCAAAAAGTGAGGAGGAGAGGCGCGAGGCGGCCAGGGCCAAGCGTCGCAGCAAAGACAGAGGAAGAAGGCTTTGAAGGCGGCTTAGGCAGCGGCTGCTCAAACCTTGGTGACGGAAGCAGTAGAGGCTCTGCAGGAGCGGATGGGGACATTGTAAATGCTGAGCCGGACGCTGCGGAGGGTGTCCTCACCCCGAGAAGGACAACATACGGGGCTGACCCCTTCAAGGGGCTCTCGGGTTTGCCCTGCCCGAGAGTGTGGTGATGAATGTGCTGGCTGGTGTCGCTTAAGGCTTAAGGTGGCTGGCTGGGAATTTGATTGGGAGGCGCGCTCGGCCTCATTTTCGACTGGGCCCGCGTAGTGGGCGACCCTGGTTGCAGTAGGCATTTTGCTGCTGTTTGGTGGTGACCTATGGTGGTGCTGTCAGTGGGCTTTCTCTGCTGGATTTATGTGGCGACCTTTTGGCATCCAACCGCATTTACAGAAGCACAGGTTGATGTCGCATACATTCTATTTCTATTTCAGCCCGCTACCTTCGCTTCTTGATGAGTGCCGCATTTTGGTTGCAGAATTTAGGTTTGGGGTCCAGGGCCTATAGGGCCAATCGGGATTAGGCTAAATATTGAAGCTCGCGTATGGTACAGATAAAAGGAAAAGCAACAGTAACTTAAAACCTGAAACGAAGCTTGCGGCGGGGCGATTGGACGAGTATGTGCCAGAACAACAAAGAGATGTCTGAACATGGCTCTCAAACCCTCTGCTTTCTGTGCTGCTAGTGCGCCATTTTGCGACTCAACTGCCGACAGAAAGGGCGGCTCAAGCAAACAAGAATCAGGTCCTACAAGAACCTGTCAGGCACGCTGCACTTGTGGCTCGCAAGAATGTTTACTCGCTGTCTTTGGCCTTCTTGTGCAAGGCGAAGCCATGTCAGCTCGGACCTTCGCCAGCAGGAGCACGATGAGCAGAACAACGCAGCCGCAGCTGGCCACGTAATTTGATCTCTTGCTGGCTGGGCTGAACATATCCATCTCTGGTACCGGCAAGTAAGGCTCGTGATTCCTGTTCCAGGGATGCCTTCCGCTCAGATGCGCGAAGTCGGACCACAGCTGAGGTACCTTGGGCTTTCTGCCGGTAAGAATGATTTAGATGAATCTGATCTGTGTCAAGTTGCCGTGCTCCAGCTATAGACGCCAACACGACAGATGTTGGATAGTTGGATGGGACAAAAACAAGGTGTTTCTTGGGTTTGAGGGCTTCGTAGTTAGGGTCCAGGGCTTATGGCTTTGTAGCTGTTGCTTGTTAAGGCCAGGAAAAAGAAACAAAAGCAAGGAAATCCGACCGACACCCAAAGGTTGTTCAACGGACAAGTCGGGGACAACAGCTGAGACTGTCACCGGGAGGTTGCGTGCCTTGTGTCCGTTCAGCCTCTTCGTGTAGCTCTTAAAAATGCCAGGCGTTACTTTTTTTTTGCGGTCGCAGGTGCGAACCAAGCCCCCATCATGAAGAAGCCGAGTACTGCTCGCATGCAATCGCCAGAGGTAGGCGTCCAACCGGTGGCCGCCTCGAGGACCAAAACATCAGATCTATCACACCCTGGACCTTGTATAGCTATTGTGGGAAGGGATGTATGAAAAAGGACCCCTTGAACCCCGGAAGCACCTTTATAACCACAATCCGAGGATACATGACCCAACGAGGCAGGACGGCTGGCCTCCTTGGCATCACTTCGAAGGATGCAGGAAAGGGGGTCGCAAGCCAGAAGAACCACCAGAAGCTGGACAATCCAGTTCGGCCCAAGTTGAAAGAAGACCATCACGTGGAAGACTGCAACCTAGGTCTCCTAGAGAACTCTCAGACCCTCATGGTGAAGAAGAAGGAACATAAAGGAACGCACATTCCATTGAAGCTAGGGACGTTCACTAGGAACATCAAGCAGATGGGGCTTTGCCCATCCGGACGCATTTCGGCAATGCACAGGACCGGCCAGATAATCTCGAAGAACATCGTGAACCATGAAAGGAGCAGACCTCCAGCTTTCCCAGGAACGACCGAAGAGTAAGGCGAGTAAAGGTATCATTCTGCGCGGGGTGGCGCGGAAAAGGACCGACATCCAAAACATCAAGACAGAGGAACAATGTGTTAGACCGACTTCATTACTAAGCTACCGAGTTGCACGTCCAGGGTTCAGTGCCGATCAGGGGCGGAGTGGATGCCAGCCATTTGTTGAGCCATGGAACGAAGCTGTACCTATGCGGATCAAGACCCTGCTTCTTCATCACCATAAATCGCCCTTTCATGCAGAATCCCAGCCCTGAACCCCAAAGCCAGGATGGGTCACCCATGGGAGCGATCCATGACGCCTGTCGTCAACCAGCTTCCCGAGAAGCAAGTGGCCAATCCTTCATTCGAGTGAATCGAATGTGGGCAGCCGGTTTAACCCTTTGACCCTGTACATCATTGTGCATCCAGACACCCCAAGAAGTGCTACTTGACATGGTTGGCACAGGATTGACCCAGCTTGTTTCGTAGTCCTTTTGGTTCTGGGCTTTGCAAACATTCCGGGTACCCTCAACACGGCGCTTGACCAAAACCCTGGTCCTAGGTATCGCACTTTGCAAATGCCTGCAAAGAGATAAATGGGAATCACAGCGTTGATGATGAGGAACTTTCTCAACCACGATCCAGCCATAGGGTTCGTCTCCAGAAATGGCACTGCAAAGATGGCAGCGAGGACGGAAACGATTCCACCGTAGTCAGAATGCTTTTTCGTGTATGCGTAATGAATTGCAGCAAAGAAGGCATAAATCAACGCGCCATAGCCGTACAGCAAGCCGTGTGCCACTTGAAGGCCTTTGTTGATGTGTGCCCTGTGGCTCCAGTTGGGCAGAAGCAAGAAACCAAACCAGCACAGGATCATCCGGGATCGCAGCTGACACAGGCTCTCCATCCAACTCTTTGCGGTCTCCGGTGAGAGCCCTGGTAGCAGCCACTCGGTGAATGGTAACATGGGGTAGGGGCTCGGCGGGTGGCGCTTCATAATGCCAACAAGCTCTGGCGCAGCTAACACCCCGGGTCTTGGCACCATGAGGACGTGGAAATGGATGAAAAGCAAAGCGAGCACAAAGAGCTTCATGGAGACCATGGGGCACGTAAGCTCGAAGGGAAACCACCACCAACGGCAAAAACGATCAAGCTTCCAGGAAAGCAAATGTGATGTACTTGCCAGACCTTGCGGTGATTTGGAAGCACAGAAAGACGGAGGCGGCGAAACCTGCTGAAGCTGCCGGCCAGCTATGAGGAACTGAAGCAAGAGGCCAATCAGGAAACATGCTATTGCACATTTTGCAAGTGTCGCACCACCCGCAAGACCCATGGCCAAAATGGTCCTGCGCATCCTGGAGGCTGCTGCCAGCTGTTGCTTCTGAAGCTTCGTCAGGCCTTCCCTGTTGCACAGAGCTGGCTCCATTTTGCAGAGTGGCAAGTCGTCAGGCTTCGACAGTGCTGATCCGACTTTCAGGTCTTCACTAAAGTCAACTCTCTCCAGTGTCATCGTTTCATTGGTCAGAAGGGTCAGGGATGCGAACAGAAACGCCAAAGACCCCACGAGGCGTAGTCTTCGTGTACAAAGGGCTGCCAACATCCCGTGACTAATCCGATCAGTTGCACGCAGGAACAGGAGATCTGCCATCACCCGACAACCAATGTTTTCCAAAATAGCTCAAGTAAGGGTCTATATGGTTCAGGGTTCAGGGTTTGGGGGATTAGATGGGATTAGTCTTCTGGCGTAAGGTATGTTCGGGAAAGTTAGGTTGGAAGATCTGGGAATCCACACGTGACGTGCGCTGCCGGGGAGGGGGGGGGGCAGGCTAACCTCAGGCAAGCTTGCGGAATGCTGGGGAATGCTTAAGGGTTATTGAGTTGCCCACCGCCCCCCCTTTGACCCTCCTCCCTACACCCTACATGCTAAACGACCCATTTGCACACTCGTCCAGCTGCAGTCGGTATTAATTACAATCCTCACTCCTTTGTCTTACACTCACTGTTGTTGACTTTGGCTATATGGCAAGCTATGAGCCCAAGGAAAGTGCGCTGCTGCAAGGTGCAGAACATGACGCGAACAACGCAACTGTGCCCTAAGGGACCCGCGACAACCCATGCGGAGCGACATGCTCATGGTTCGTCGACATGCCTACGCGAGGCCTACGCAAACACGCCCTGCGGAGAAAATTCGAAAATGATACGCCCGACTTCCAATGATCACGTCTCTACATGAAGTGAAACAAGGCTGCTCAATTTTGCACCAAATTCGCCTCGGCTTCCTGCCGAGAAGCGTCTGGAACAAGAAGACCCGGATCGGGCCTCCTTCCCCCTAACCCAACCCTTCCCCCCATGCAAAACTTTCTGACGCCACCCCCCTCCCCGCCCCCCCCCCCGCACTGTGGGACCCCCCCCAATTGCTTGGAGGAGCTGCAAACCGATGCCGTGGAGGGTCCCGCCTGTCGGTCCTACAGGGGGAGTGCGTCAAAACCCACTCCGCACCCCCCCCCAACCCCCACCCCCCCCTGGGGCCGGCCCGGCTGCCGAGGCGGCGCGCGCAAGCGTTTACAATTAAGAACCCCACGTGGAATTTAATTAACAATTGAATTCATCCACCACCATATGAAAGATGGAATGCATATGTTTCTAAATATATAAGTATATGAATAAATAAATACATATATATATATATACATAGAAAGAAATTCCTTATCATAAATCCTTTTTATATATGCAAACACCCTCGCATTGAGACAATCAGACCTCTCGGACCTTTAGGTGTGTCTAGTCAAGTCTCTCGTGGGAGTGTCTGCATGTCTGCCGCGCGGAAACTCAAGTCTTCCCTCCCATTTTTAGGTGAATGCCCGTGAACTTTATTACTTCCCCGAAGTCTCACAGCCTGGACCTCACTGCAGGACCTGAGACTGGCGACTGTTCTTACAGCTTCTGTAGATGGGCATTTCCCCCAAAACGGGGGTACCCCAATCATACCCCAAATAGTGCAGAATCCCCTTAAGACACCCCCAAAAAAGGGTACCCCTATTTTCGGAAACCCCGAGATGGGCTTTTTGGTGATACCCGGACTTCTCGCATACGGTGTCGGAGACCAGCCTCTTCCGCCTTGGGCGGACGCTGTTCTCTCCAGACCTGCGCTACCTGTTAGGCCCACTTTTATCGACTCATGGCCCAGGCGAACGCGCATGCTGCGAAAAACTCCAAGCCCGGGCTGGAGAGGAGCTCACACAGCCAGACGAACAGGATGATGGAAGTGCTGCCCCACAAGATATTCGAAGCCAAGGACTGGCCCAGCAGCTGGCAGAGAAGACATTCGATAGGAGCACCAGCAATCCCAAGGCTCAGGACCTCTTCAATGCCAACACTGATGACAGGAAGGAGAAATTCGCAGCATGAACCTCAACGGTAGCCTGAGCCGGTGAGTGTCCCCAGCCAGCTCGAATTGCAAGGGCCCCTGCACATATTCCTCAAACCTTGTGGTGCTGCCGCACCAGGCAGTGATGGCCTTGTACACATAGCTGCGGTCAAAGTCCATGCGGCAGAGGCTGTTGCTGAGCTTGTGCTGCTGCAGGTTTTGCAGGAGTATCTTCTTTTGGTGGACGTTTTTGCGTATGATGTGCGCAGCCCATCTCACAGGAGAGCACAGCACTGCAAATAGAAGCCCTAAGTAGCCCAGGTTTCCTGCAGGATCGGCAGTGCCAAAGTGAATTCCGGCCATTACCGCCCCGCCGAGGGCGAACATACTAAAGAACAGCAGCAAGATGACGCTTGCCATGAACAGCGGGACCAAGGTGATCTTACCATGTGGGTTTGCATGGCGATATGCTGCCAACTCGAACACCTGACAGGAAAAGAGCTGACAGGAAGTCTCACTGAAGGTGGCAAAGCTATGAGGATGGCAGCAATTACTTGAAGGGTTGAGTTAGACATCTATGGCATGAACAGCTATGAACAGCGTTCCCTGCTCTCCAGGCACACACACCAGAGTCTTGATAAGTACGGCGGCGACCACAGCACCAGCAACTCTCGAGACACACTGAGAAAGCTGCCAATGCTGTAGATCTGAGTTGTGTTGAACTGTACTTGCCCTTGATTTGCAAGCACAGCCAGTGGCAGAAAAGAATAGAACTTTTCCACGATGCTCAATAATGATAGCCTGCACGCCTAAAAGGCATGCTCACCCAAAGTGACGTATGCGCACACAAGTGGACACAGAAGACTAGAATGTCTCCACAGCACGAAGCAAGCGCGGCAGGAGTGTGCTGTAGATCCCACGCTTCATCAGCTCCTCAAGGATGTGTGGGGAATCTATAGGGCTGAGGGCGAACATGCTAGGAGAGTCACGGCAAGCCAATGGGTTTACAAATCACACCACGCCTGATTGATGCTAACCACGTCCACGAAGCACCTGGCCAGGTTCCTCGATGGCAGGTAGGGTGTCAGTGCTAGCCCGACAGCCATGGCACCCAGGCTTGGACCGAACACCCAAAAGCCGAAAGGTGCGGGATCACGAAAGTTAAGGATCTTGATGACATAGTCTGCGGGCATTGGGAGGACTTCAGCCGAGCAAAGCAGCATGGCGATAACGGCAAACACGCACCAGATTAGCAGCGCTAGCGAAGTGCCTTCTCTCAGAAGTAGGTACAGAAACTTCGAATGCCCCGAAGATGACCAGCAGTGCGAAATGAAGACGTCAAATGACTTTGCTTCTTCTGACATCTCGGACAACTCAACCCGCTTGGCATGCGTGATGTCTGCGGGATTCTTGGACCAAATCCTGCCTGCCCTTTGAGGGCAGCTGCGCATGGGCACCGCACGCAGGAGCTCGAAGTCCACATCCAGCGTGCCGGCTCTCTCCAGCACCTCTAGCCGGCCGGCTGCGCTCAACTGGCTCAAACGAGGTGGAAGCGTTTGGGAGACGGCGCCCTGCAGGCCCAGGGCTGCCCGGGGCTCGGGCTCACCGTCGCCGTCTTCACCGTCTGACCAAGCCGCTCCATGCTCCGTCTGCGTCAGGGCATTGGCACGGCTCGGCTGGGCATTGCAGGGTGCCGGGTCACTATGCTCGCCATCGCAGTGGCCGCACTTGTTTCCCATGATGCGTGTACATTTGAGCTTGGTTTACTCGCTTTGAGCCGGCATGTCATGGCGTGCCCCTCAACTGGAACGTTCTCTAGTCGACCATAGTCCACCTGTTGCAGGTTTCTCTTCAAGGTTCGTGCTTAATCATGTGTACCTTGCCAGGTCTGCGCATTGTCACCTTCCTCACCAAATTTCGGGCCTTCTGCTTCTTCACAGCCCCGCATCTCAATAAATCTCATAATATCACTCTCCCAACCCCCAGTGAGTTGATGCTGTTTGGCTACCCACCCTGATGAAGCCCAAACCTGACACACAGAGGCTCAAGAAGATCAACCGTAACACCGTAATCTTGCACTGGCTTTAGTATTTCTGCCGTCTGTACTCACAAATTTTCCCAAATCATTCTTCGACCGCAGTTTGTTTGGGTTACTACCCGCTATAACAACCAGTTTTTTTGGATCTGTGGTTTAGGTTTGTGTTGAGGGCTTAAAGTTAAGTCAAGTGTTTGGGGTTTGCTCCTGAGGCCGCCCAAGCACTCAAAATTCAACCTGAACTTTTCATGCGTTTAGGATGGTTCCACGGGCTCCCACTCCGTTCGCGGGGCCCTCTACTAAAGGCCAGTGCAACATTAACTTTTGAAACTCTTATTGGCCTTACCCCCTAGACCTTCACCAGCCTCAACCCAACCTGGTTAACCCACAAAGGCTAGGGTGTGAAAAGTTGTGCTGCGCAAGCTTGAAGAGTCTTGGTGTAGCTAATGTTTTGGCGAAACCGGTCGCTGGTTTGGTGAGTGAACCCAGTTTTGGGCCCATGAATCCAGGTCGGGCAAATGTGCAGATTGAGCATGCCCCCTTGTCAGGCAACTCTCACCACCCGGAGTTTTTCGGTCAAGCTGGACATCGATCTCAGAAGAAGTCCACGACTACATCTCCTGTGCGCAGCTGGCGATGCACAACAAACGCTCAGACCCTACGTCTCCAGCTTAAGGGATCTCTGTATCTCCCTCCCTCCTTCCCTCACTCCCTCGCAGGAGAATGGCCCGAACCTCCGCTGCCTCTGCTCGATGGCATAGCACCATCACCTGCGATGCACTGGTCTTCGGCTGTCGAAGCTGGTTTTGGCAGGTTGTCATTGCAACTACGACTGTACAGTCTTGTGTGAAAACATGCTGATCTGCAACTGCAAGATGCGACCCAATAACAATTGAACATCAGCAGGAGCAGCGGTGAGTTCTAAGGCTTTATTCGTTTAAGAGTCCGGCCATCTTCCGAAGCACCCGAGGGCTGAGGCTTCAGATGCAAAGCACTTAAATGCGCGCCCTCTTCTGCTTGCCAAACTCACTAGCGTACCCCTTCCCCATCCCCCTTCCCCACCCCCCGTCCCCACCCCCATCCCCTTGCCCCGTCCCCTTGCCACTGTTTTGCTTTCAACCACCGTCTCCCTTGCAACCCCCTATGCACCCCCTAGACTCGAGATGCTATGGCACCCCCCCAACGGACTGGACATTCTGGACCCGAATGAGCTAGAGTGGTCGTCCTCGTAGCACACGCCTTGCCTTCTGGTGCGGCATTCGGCAACGCCCTTACTGATGTTGGGGCATCCACATGAAGGGCTGCTGGCCGCGCCGAGGTGGTGCGACGAGTGCCATCTCTGCATCGCTCTCCCGCGGGACAGTGGCATGGTGGACTTCCGTTGCTTCTGGTGGGGCAGCTGCATCATCGTCCACACCCCTGGAACCCTGACTCCTGAACCTGTAAGTCCAGCCTCCAAGCGCCAATCTTCTGCGCTTGGACGTCGGTGCATTCTGCGGGCCCTGTATGGGCCTGGAACGGGGCAAGAGCAGGTTGCGATCAATGTTGAATCATTTCTAGCTAGAGGGATCCCCGCTCGCGTGATCTTTCCCGCACACCCTGCTTGTGACACCGACCAAACTACAGGCTTCCGCTTCTCCAGGGATTGTCCAAGTGGACAACGTATCTTGGGACTCTGCAACCGCGGTGACGCGCCCATGGCCTGCAAAACAAGAAAAGAGCAGCACAAGACGTCCACAGTAATCAAGCCTCTGAGGTTCGATTCTACCCTACTTGCACGCAAGGACATTGTCAGAATGAATAGAAGGACATTTCAAGGAGTAGGATCGAGAATCCAGCATGGCCCCCTCCTGCTCGGATCCAGAAGACTCAGCAGAAGAAGCCTGGAGAAGGCAAAGCCATGAGCCCAAAGATGTTCAGAATTGCAAAATTAGTAAGCCGTGTGCTTCTTGCTTATAACTTGCTTCTGGCTGAAACTCAACCGTAACCCGAAACGTCCCGACAATCCCGCCTTTGGCGCGGCTGCCTCTCTCTTCTTCTTCTTCTTCTTCTTCTTCTTCTTCTTCTTCTTCTTCTTCTTCTTCTTCTTCTGCTGCTGGGCTGGAAGGCCCGAAGGCCCCCGCGCGCTGGCGCGCCCGAAGTCCGGTCTCACGTGAAAACTCCCGGAACAGGCACTGCGAAGTTTCCCCCAACCCCACCTCCCGAGCTTATTAGAGTGCCTGACAAGTGGTGTTCCTTCATAGGGACATTGCCCTGTGTTCCTGCTGCGGGTCTGTTGGGTGAATGGTGATACATATGCTTGTTTCTCAACTCTCTCTCTCTCTCTCTCTCCCTCCAAACCTCGTCCTCAGAGCCGGCAGTCTCCAACAGCCTCATAGTGGCTTCGCAGGGAGGCTGTATCCTCTAATTACTGCACTTGAGGAGAGCGCGATGACCTCGTTAAAGATCGCATAGCGCGATCACAGCCCTGCGAAACTACAAGGGCCCCTGCAAAGCAAGGCAGTCTGTGCAGCAGCAGCACAACTTGTCCACAATGACACAATGCTCAGCGTGTGCCACGGCACGGACTTCAAAACAGAGCGATTTACTGAGGCATCAGCTGTGATGGAGGTTTCGGCCGACCTGACGAGATCGAGGATAAGTGGAAGATCCGCTTAACCGCATGTTGCTCTCAAGCTGCCGCGCACCTTTGACACCCTCTGGCTGGAGATTGTCCAGTTGGGTGTAGCCTGGACAGCACGCGACAAAGCCTAGGGTATGCGCACTGAACTGACTGAACTGTCCAAAGCCGCACATCCGGACAATCTCAAGCTCTGCAGCCCTTGTCCCGATATGTTCAGACTCAAACTTTGAAAGGCCCAAAAGAGTATGCAAAGCGTTGCCGCCCTCCCCCCCACCGCAGCTTGAGAAAATCCCGGAGACCGTCCTGGGGCGCTGCGCTGTTGAAAAGCATCGCTGCCCCTCAGCACGGTCTCCTCCTGGCAACGGCACGATGTATTTATCATGTGAACAATTCCAGCAAAACCCGTTAGGATGCCACGCTCTGATGGTTCTCACATGTACTGCTGAGGTCTACGTGTGCGATTGATGCATGTCGGATTCATCTAACCGCCCATGGAAGCAGGTAATTCCTCTAGGACGCTGGAGCTTCAGGATGTTGTATCATCACTTGCGAAGAGCCGTTCAGGCACTTAAGATATACTTTGGTCTTGCATGTCCTACCGTGTCTTTCAATGCAGGCTTCTCCCATGGCTGACGGAACTCGTCAAAAAGGTTGCGCGCACGTCTCGTGTTCTGATCGTGCTTGTGGCGACAATGCTGAGTACACTCTGCCAAACTGAGCACGACGTCAAACCAAAGCTGGGCTGGTATGAAGAAACCAAGCCACACCCTGAATTCAACAGAGGGCTGCCTGCGAGCCACGCAAGATTTGCTGCCGGAGGAATTCTGCACGGCTCCGTGCGCCAAGCCGCTTGTCACTTATGTGCCTCGGGACATAGTAGGCATTGGGGGTGTCGGGGTGGGGCAGACATGTACAGTACGAGCAAAGAGACGAAACGAAAGTTCAGACCGCTGACATTGTGCCCGTACGATTGGAACAACGTTGGCCAAGCAACTCTGGATTACTAGCTGCAAGCTGGCGTATACTTGCAACGCTCGATTTTGGAAGGTTGCCTTGACAACCGCGCAGCCATCATGCCCAGAAGACCAGAAGAACTGCTGGAAGTCAAAAAACGGCGCAGCAGTTTGTGAGACTCTGAGAAGCCGAATTCGCAGGGTATCTTTGCCCCGGATGCGGTCGAAGCGGCAACGCTTGCCACCGACGTGCTCTAACTGCGAGGGAAGTGTCTTCTAACCCATATTTACAGGCATGAGATCGTAGAGGCTTGCAAAGCCAGACTTGCTGCCTTTGGGAATTGGGCTACCATGGACTTCCAGAGCACATGAGCGCTGTAGATGATGTTTTCGAAAGAAAAGATTCCGCCAGTGGGGCTCGGCTTCAGCAGACCGTTGCGGAGATTCGACACAGCTTGCTTCTGCGCTGCTTCCGCGAAAGGTCCGTTTGTCTTTTGAATCGTCTGAGTTGGGTTGGGGTCCTGCCACCTTGAAATCCGCAAGTTGTAACATGCGGTTCTGTCAATCGCAAAGGCCAAAGCTGAAGCTGTCCAGGGAAAAGTGTGGCGTAGAGCTCAGGGTTTGTAGGTAAGTGTTTTGAGGCTGTTGTAGGTTTTAGGGCTTTCAGGGGCTTTCGTTCTTCTGTTGTGTCGGTTTGACGCTACAGCTAGCAACGAGGAACCTGGTCCACCAACCACCCCAGGGACAGCAGACGGAAGGAGTTGCTGATTGTGCTTCGCCAAAGCGTAAACACCACCCAAACTGACCTCCATCAGAAATTGTTGACCTTCCTTTATATGACCTGCTGACACCGCATACAGAAGGCAGATCGCCGTCCTCGAGAACAGTTCAATTTTTGGATTTGTTTATTCTTGTTCTGGCTTCAGCGCTGCGTCAGGGAGATGGGTCATACCTTCTGCGACATCCGTCACATTCCCGAGCACCCCATACGCCTCATTCCCGGGGTTTGGAGCTGAACACGCGCTTTGATTCTGAAAAGGCTCGAAGAAGCCTCCGCTTTCTTGCACTCATCTGCCGGCGAACTTTCAAGCATACCTCCCAGAAAGCTGGTTACTTTTGTTGTTTGAATTCCTTGATGCCTGCCCAATTTTGCTCCTGCAAAGCACTTCTGCGAACAACTTGCTTTTGCAAAAAGCTTCCGCATGCTTTCCAGGAGTACAGCCTAGAGTCTGGCTTGCAAACCGTCCACATCATTTCACATACTTGAGGCGTCTAACATGCTCAACTCTGTGCTGTGTATGCGAGAAACCACTATAGAAGTGCCCCAATCCCTCGCGGTAATTCTGATCCCGTGAGCTACGAAGCACTCACTCCTTCGCGTTCTGGCGTCTCAGTGTGCGAAGCTTGTCTTTGGCTCGCCTGTGCCAAGAACCACGGTCTTTCAGGCACTCTTGGGGCATAGCTGGGAAATCTCCGCACGCGCAAAGGCATCGGTCGGCATCGGAATCGCTGCGCATGCTTGTGATGTGTCAGTGGTGATCAACGACAATTACTTCACAATTGCAGATACGAGAAGGATGCTCCTCACCTTACCCTTGAAGGCAGCCCTTGTCGGAAATTTCGTGTATTCATAATCATGAATAATGTTGACGGCAAAGCCTGAGAGTTTAATAGAAACAGAACACCCAACACCGAACTCCCAACCCCTTAAGACCAGGCCTCCTGAAAGCCCCAGTGCTGTTCGGCAAGAGCCGCGTGCACCTACAGGTGCTACCGAACTGTCTGACTGCTTTTCTGCTTTCAGAGCCACGGTAGAGAGGTATTGGTAGAATCTACAGAAGTCGTTTTAATTTTCTTCTTTGCGTGAGAGAGGCTTGTGCAGATGGAGCTCTTGTTGAAGGAGTTTCTGGCCCGGGCCTTATCAATTTTCGTGTTTTCCATTTTCGGCGGGGTTTCAGGCTATTGGTCTAGACCCTGTGAAAACGTGCAGACAATCGCCTGGAAGTCACTCAGCAGTCCCAACAGCGCTCTGCCAAACTCCTCCGAGACTTTGCTCTGGACTGATGCTCTTAGAGTTAGAAGGAACAACCTGAAGGGTTCTTGTGCCTCCTGTTTCTACTCAAAGGGAAGCAAGCGGAGACAGTCTTTACATCTAGCACCAACTGGCACTGTCCAACTCTGCCAACATCTAGCCGTCCTCGAACTGAGACTCCATGGCATCTTGACGTCTTGTCAAGCTCCTAACAGTTGCACTCGCATCGATTTGTGCACTTCATTAGACGCCGAGTTTACTCAAGTCTTGCAGTCCGCTACGCAAATGCAGATCCCTTGGATGCATCCACCCTTCAAGGGGTGCGCCCTACTAACCGCGCGGCATGAGTCTGAAACACTTTTGGCTTCGCCCTGGCAGGCAGAACTGACAGTTTTCTGCATGGCCAAACCTTACAAAGATCTTACCAAGTCATGGTTCTGACTCTCATTTGCAATAGCAGATGCGCAGCCCGTGCCGCAAGCCAAACGCGTCGAGATGCTGAGCTTGCTCCGCTATCTCTGAGACTTCTGACGCCTCCCAGGATCTGCGACTTGATCGGCTGTGTAGGACAGAAATGGGATCTCGAGTATAGTTCAGTATGACAGATTTCAGCTCAGCCCTGTAAAGCCTGAGCAAAGGCTTTCTCCTCGGCTTGCGTGGCTTGCTTTGGCCACCTCAGTGGTCGGATGGGCATGGAACGTTTAGGCTTGTGCACGTTTTCTACACCTTCGAAAGACCGCATTTGGCACGGACGAGCAACGTCTGTGCCTCTCAGAGACCCTTGAATGCTCGACTTGAGGAAGCCAGGACCTGAGGTGAGTGCCGACGCTTCTGCGTGCACAAGGGGGCTGTGAATCGGATCGATTCCAGCTGCAGCTCCATGTCGTCCTGGGTACAGTGCTTTGCCATCGCAAGCTTGTTGCGGAGCGAGGGAGAGAGACGGAGAGAGATGGACCATGGACAGAAGGCAAAATCCAAGAGGTACATTTATTCATGCAAGGACTCATGCCCCATGCCTGCTGCAATGCCAGCTCTGCAAGATGCCTGCGCGGAAGACTGAGGAATAATTAACGGCTCAGAAATGCTCAGAACCTGTAACACCATGCTCGCTGACACTGCCACGGACAGACAACTGTTAACGGATGCTTTTGGACAGCGCAAGCTTTCCTCCCCCTCGACGAGCCCTCAAGCAGGCCAGGGTGCGTTGAGGTTGCCAGACTCTCCCGCGCCAGCACCCTCTCCATTTCCTGGATCATGAGGGATCAGGGCACAGTGCGGGTCCGAGACTTCATCTGAATAGCACATCAGATCCTGCAACACTCCACTCCTTCTTTCCAGTACGCGGAACGTCAACACATCAAAAACCAGTCCGACTGTCCGACTACCCAGGTCGGCTGTTGCGTTCGGGCCTTGTGACCATCGAAGTCGGCAGCTGCAGCTTCAAGGCTTGCCACTCTGACCTTTGTGGCAGGACACGTCTGCTTAAGGCGCCGAGAAGTCTCAGACGGCTTGAACACTACAATACCTCGATACCTGGACTTCTAGACTACTGCTCCACGCCTACTTGAATGCAAACTCCCGTGACGTTGATTACGCCCGACCATGCCCGGCCTATGGCCAGCCTTACACGCATGCTGGGGCACGTCCAAAGCTTCAGCTGCGGCCTTCATGGTCGACACTTCCTGAAGACGGGGGTTGTTCGCCAATCGGAGTTGCGATGCTTCTGCCGGGTGCTGCCAACTCAACGCAGAAACGCCCCAATCCCTAAAATCCCTATAGGCCCTCAACTTATCCCTTTGCGAAGCCTTGAGGCCGTCGAGGTCGAGCGCCTCAAGTTTGGCGACCCGAGCCTTGCGAGGGAAGTCGAAGGTTTTCGAACTTCTATCCGGACTTTCCCCTTCGGGTCGGGGCCGGTGCCTTCAGTTGCAGGCATTGCCCCACATGCCAAGGGGATACTGTTGGAGTTTGTGCAGCCAAAAGGTGGTTAGCTGAACTTGCTTTTTCCCTTAGTCTTGCTGCCGGTGCGTGTGTGCGTGTTTGATACGACCACCCCGCACCCCAAGCCCTGTCTCCGAGCCAATGCCTCCAGCTTCGTACCTTTGTGAGGGGGTAAAAGCTTCTGTTCCTGTGAAGTGGGCTGTCTTGCCTAGGTGCCCAAATCCAACCCAAGCCACCACCCGGCTTGGGGGGGCGAGCCCGTGAAGGTTCGGGTGGCGTTTTTCCCAGCTCGGATTGGCTCGGAGTGTCGAACTCTTGCCGAATCTCCCCTATGACGCAAGCGGAGGGGTGGAGAGATGGTGGGAGGGAACGTTTCTGTTGGCCGCAGAGCGCCCCAGGCCGTCCACTGAGTCACTCAGTCTATCCGACCTTCAGAGCTTACCTACGAAAACAAGTGTCCCTCACACGTGTGTCAGCAGGATCCTGCAGGCTTTCCCAAAATTACCGAGAGCTCTAGATTTCCCTGCAAAGGGACCCCTGCATGAAATCAACGATGTTGCTTGTGCCTGAGAACTAGTCCAACCTGCCAAAGCCTTACCCCCAATCGGTTGTACGCCTCCACGGCCTCCACTCGGACCATCGAGGAAGCGGCCTCCTGACCATCTGATGCGGCACTGCAAGGGCTTCTATCACACACCTCATTGAAAGCTTTAACTTCTTCATGGTATATGTATACCTATTACACCTAGAGAGAGGGAGAGAGAGAGAGAGAGATGTATACAATACGCATAAATGCAGAACCTTTTAACTGTTGAAATACAAACCCGCTTAACTCAACGAAGAGGTGGTCATGGGAGGGCGGGGGGCTGGGTTGCAGTCAAGGACATTCGGAGTTAAGATGTCTGCGTTCACAGTATTGGTACTGGGTGCCCGCCCTAAGGCGACCCACGCGGGCAAAAGGCGACTCACCCCAAGTAGACCCCCCTGAATGCAAAAGGCAACCCATGCGTGCAAAAGGCGACCCACAGCAAGCTAATCCCCAGGCAGATGCCCTTGCCAGGCTACTTTTGCAACATAGCAACAAACAAGCAAAATGCCCGCGAGACCTAGCGCAGAGTACCGATTCCAAAGGATTTCGGACGACGATGCACCCTGAAACCCCAATGTGACGCCTTGCCCGACTATTTGCGCAACATGGCGAAACACAAAGGGATGAGTAAGTGAGTGTGTCCGTTCCCGACCAAACAGTGCCACGCAAACGGTTTATGATACTAAAAGGTCCATTGACCCGGAACCCCGCAAACCTTGCGCAATTTAAGGGGTGTGGGGTTCAGTGTCAGAACTATAGACTTTAATGCGGTAGATTCAGCATAGGGCCTATGGTAGGTTACGGGAGGGGTCCGGGTGTTACAGCTGCAGTGAGACATCCGCCACACATGCTGGACAACTGCCTTGTGACACCTACGCGAGACCCCACAAGACAACTATATCAAGGAATGTGCCAGAACAGAAAACTGCAAGGGGACGCCCTGGCGAGACGCCCACGTGTCATGAAGATAACTGCGCCATACTAGAAAACTGCAGTGTGACGCCCTGATGAGACGCCTTTTGCCTGCGCGAGACGCCTTAGGTCAACCACCCAGTAGTGGCAACATTGGCCGAGTACTTCTGCTAAGTCCTGTGGGTTTTTTTGATGTGACAACGTGGATCAGCGCTGTCGGAGCTGTCGTTCACAATGCCACAATACACGGCGGCCAAATTCTACATCGAGGGGGTCGGGACAGTCCTCGCCACTCATTGTACGCTAACTACATTGCCACACTTTATAGAAGTTGCTGGCGACAATATCAGGACTGAAGCATGGCAATACAAATGAAACATACGTAAAAAGGAACTGAAGGACCAACAAATCCAATTTTACATGACTGCATGTTGGGCTTGATGCCACTCAGTGGCCTCACGGGCCACCGGAACGGTCCACGGTCTGGTCCTGGTCGTTGCTGGCCTCGACCCATGGGAATTCGGGGTTTATTTCAAGGCAGCCAGACTTGCGAACCGTGGTCACTCACGCAGGCGCTCCTCTGAAAGATGTTACGACACTGTTACGACTACCCTGGACTACCTGTCCACCACAAACAAAACAACTTGGAGATGAGACATGGAGTAGCTGCATTCTGCAAAACATCAATAAAGCTACTGAACCGAACTTTCGTGGATTGAATCCAAGACTGAAACCACAAAACTGACGTCAATCACTTCGCTGCTACCTATACTTGTCACAAGACATCCCGGATACTGAAAAGAATAGGAAAGACTGCACTTTAAAGCCCTTTGAGGAAACTTCAGGACCCAAGCCAGGCCTCGGTGCGGATGGAGGTCGAACTACGAGGCATCCTTCAGCCTGGCGCTCTCGTGCCTGCAGCCGAGGGCTCTTTTGTAGGGCAGTAGGATTGATGTGCAGCGGAACGCCCCTGAAAAGCCTAAATCATGCTAACACACAGGAAGCGGATCTCTGAGGCCTCGTGAAAGAGCTGGCGAAACCTGATGGGCGAGCTGTCAACAGCACATAACGAGCACTTTGAACTCTCAAACTCTGAGCGGATTTTGGCCGTTCACACGGACACATACAACACAAGCCGTGCTAGGGCAAAGGCAACAATCTTCTCTCTCACACAGGAAGATGACAGGGACGATATCCCCAATGCTCTCAGGCCAGGGCTCTTCTACATATTCGACCTGACAACATCCAAATCCCCAATCCGTTGATGTTGGCATTGGAAGCCAACGCCGCAGCTGCGATGAGAATTTGGAACTAATTTGGACATCCACCAACCATGCACAGCAAACAATGTGACGATGTGCTCGCAAGTTGCATGATCCTAAGCCGGGTGGCTTCAATGACTCAGGACGAAACGTCGCGAAGCAGCGCGCATATTCGCTGCTCGGCCTGAACGGCAAGCTACGAACATCCTCTGCAGCCTACTTGTAGCGTCGAGGGCTTCAGGTACATATCGGCACGGCAGTCGCTCGTTGGGGGGAGCCATGCAGTGAGGTGTCTTTTGCCAAGGCAGAACAGACAAGCGTGCTGCAAACAAAATAAGCCATAACCATGCGAATTCAAAGCCCCACCTCGTACAGACGGAGCTCTAGTGCGGAGGTCAAGTCCTTGGTTGCGCCGGGAAGACGTGTGACTTTGCATGGCTTTTCTGCAATACTCTGATGCACGGTGTGTCTGGAGCTTATGGGGCCATGATGCTCATGATGCTCGCCTCCCACCGCGTCAAACGTGCTCAATCACTCGGGCAGTTGGTTTTGCAAGCGTCTGAAGCTTCGGGGGCCTTGTGACCGGGAAGATGCCCAGCTGATGCTCATGATGCTCGCCTCCCGCCGCGTCAAACGTGCCAAATCACTCGGGCAGTTGGTTTTGCAAGCGTCTGAAGCTTCGGGGGCCTTGTGACCGGGAAAATGCCCAGCTGATGCTCATGATGCTCGCCTCCCGCCGCGTCAAACGTGCCCAATCACTCGGGCAATTGGTTTTGCAAGCGTCTGAAGCTTCGGGGGCCTTGTGACCGGGAAAATGCCCAGCTGATGCTCATGATGCTCGCCTCCCGCCGCGTCAAACGTGCTCAATCACTCGGGCAGTTGGTTTTGCAAGCGTCTAAGGCTTCGGGGGCCTTGTGACCGGGGAAATGCCCAGCTGATGCTCATGATGCTCGCCTCCCGCCGCGTCAAACGTGCCCAATCACTCGGGCAATTGGTTTTGCAAGCGTCTGAAGCTTCGGGGGCCTTGTGACCGGGAAAATGCCCAGCTGATGCTCATGATGCTCGCCTCCCGCCGCGTCAAACGTGCTCAATCACTCGGGCAGTTGGTTTTGCAAGCGTCTGAGGCTTAGGGGGCCTTGTGACCGGGAAAATGCCCAGCTGATGCTCATGATGCTCGCCTCCCGCCGCGTCAAACGTGCCAAATCACTCGGGCAGTTGGTTTTGCAAGCGTCTGAAGCTTCGGGGGCCTTGTGACCGGGAAAATTCCCAGCTGATGCTCATGATGCTCGCCTCCCGCCGCGTCAAACGTGCCCAATCACTCGGGCAATTGGTTTTGCAAGCGCCTGAAGCTTCGGGGGCCTTGTGACCGGGAAAATGCCCAGCTGATGCTCATGATGCTCGCCTCCCGCCGCGTCAAACGTGCTCAATCACTCGGGCAGTAGGTTTTGCAAGCGTCCGAGGCTTCGGGGGCCTTGTAACCGGGAAAATGCCCAGCTGATGCTCATGATGCTCGCCTCCCGCCACGTCAAACGTGCCAAATCACTCGGGCAGTTGGTTTTGCAAGCGTCTGAAGCTTTGGGGGGCCAATAGGGGCCATGTGACCGGGAAAATGCCCAGCTGATGCTCATGATGCTCGCCTCCCGCCGAATCAAACGTGCCCAATCACTCGGGCAGCTGGTTCTGCAAGCGTCTGAAGCTTCGGGGGCCTTGTGACCGGGAAAATGCCCAGCTGATGCTCATGATGCTCGCCTCCCGCCGCGTCAAACGTGCCCAATCACTCGGGCAGTTGGTTTTGCAAGCGTCTGAAGCTTCGGGGGCCTTGTGACCGGGAAGATGCCCAGCTGATGCTCATGATGCTCGCCTCCCGCCGCGTCAAACGTGCCAAATCACTCGGGCAGTTGGTTTTGCAAGCGTCTGAAGCTTCGGGGGCCTTGTGACCGGGAAAATGCCCAGCTGATGCTCATGATGCTCGCCTCCCGCCGCGTCAAACGTGCCCAATCACTCGGGCAATTGGTTTTGCAAGCGTCTGAAGCTTCGGGGGCCTTGTGACCGGGAAAATGCCCAGCTGATGCTCATGATGCTCGCCTCCCGCCGCGTCAAACGTGCCCAATCACTCGGGCAATTGGTTTTGCAAGCGTCTGAAGCTTCGGGGGCCTTGTGACCGGGAAAATGCCCAGCTGATGCTCATGATGCTCGCCTCCCGCCGCGTCAAACGTGCCCAATCACTCGGGCAATTGGTTTTGCAAGCGTCTGAAGCTTCGGGGGCCTTGTGACCGGGAAAATGCCCAGCTGATGCTCTCAAACGTGCCTTATCACTCGGGCAGTTGGTTTTGCAAGCGTCTGAGGCTTCGGGGGCCATGTGACCGGGAAAATGCCCAGCTGATGCTCATGATGCTCGCCTCCCGCCGCATCAAACGTGCCCAATCACTCGGGCAGTTGGTTTTTCAAGCGTCTGAAGCTTCGGGGGCCATGTGACCGGGAAAATGTACGTAATTATAAAAGGCTTGGAGAATGTGAATCCTTAAAGTGAACGAAATTAGTGCATCAAGAAATTGAATGGTGAATTAGCGAATTTACAATAAAAGTATTCGTGCTGCATTCGCATGATTTTATGATCAAAATAGTAGTTTTCTTGTCTTGTTCACGCAGGTTTAACAAGAGATTACAATGCGTCCCCCTTTGCAATAGATTTAATGGGGAATTTGCCGAAGAAATAGATGGAGAACGAGCCATGTTAATAAAAGTCTTGAGTGGTGAGAACATAAGATATAAAGATACGGGCAAATAAGCTGAATTATAATTTACTTCGCAATCATTTCCTTTGCATCTATTTTGTCTTCTCTCTTCTCACTTTATTACGGCGTTCGCAGATGAACGAAGTGAGTGATACAAAATAATAAATTGGCGAACGCATTAAATACGCAATGAGCCCCAATTTAATCTATTTTAACGGGCTCTTAACAGATTATGATATTCATGCCCAGCTGATGCTCATGATGCTCGCCTCCCGCCGCGTCAAACGTGCCCAATCACTGGGGCAGTTTGTTTTGCAAGCGTCTGAAGCTTTGGGGGGCCAATGGGGGCCATGTGACCGGGAAAATGCCCAGCTGATGCTCATGATGCTCCCCTCCCACCGTGTCAAACGTGCCCAATCACTCGGGCAGTTGGTGTATTGTAACCTGCCGCCGCGTCAAACGTTCCCAATCGCTCGGGCAGTTGGTTTTGCAAGCATCTGCAGCTTGGCGGGCCATGTGACCGGGAAAATGCCCAACGCTGATGCTCATGATGCTCGCCTCCCGCCGCATCAAACGTGCCCAATAACTTGGGCAGTTGGTTTCGCAAGCGTCTGAAGCTTGGGGGGCCACGCGACCGGGAAAATGCCCAGCTGATGCTCATGATGCTCCCCGGCGTCTGAACTTGGGGGAACATCCCCAGTCGATGCTTATGACATGAGCCATGTTGTGAAGCTACCGCTGCTGGGCTGGGCTACTTTGTCAGGTGACACCAGCGGTTACATATCACTGAAGGCCAAATCTGGCTGAGGCACCATTGCCGTCGTCAGTTCAAAGTGCCTGGGCGGCTTGACGTGTGCTCTCTGACAGTGTCTTCAACCACATGATGCCGCCAAGTTTGGGAATCTTCAAGATGTCCTATAGGCTTCGGCCGAAGCTCTCTCGTTGGCCGCCGCTACTAACGTCAGCATGGCGAAGGCGCTGATACTGGCGGGCGCTGATGCGGGCCTGCGACGATCGTCGAGAAGCTCTTGACTGCGTCAATGGCCGGCTTCGGGCAGTTCGAGAATCTGAATTTGCAACAGTTTGGCGGATGAGGCGCAGCTGGGAAATCCACCTAGAAACCACAGTACAGGGCCGCTGATTTCGTCGAGGGGGAGCCTTACATTGCCTTACGCTTCAAAGCAGAGGCCCTGGCTCACGGCTTTTCCCCCAGCCTCTCGGTCCCGGTTCGGGCTCCAGGGGCTCGCCGTCCGGGCTGAGGGCTTGGGGGATGGCTCTAGCTCTGCTGGGCTCTGATGGTTTGGCCTTCCTTTGGATTTCACCCACTGCTTGTCTAGGTTCTTGCAGACAGGGCTCTATAGCACGTGCGCTTTATCATGTAGTCCAGAGATCTAGATCGCCCTGGTGCTGGCGCGCTTGGAAACTAGGAATTGGCTGTTCGGACATCTCGAAATTTGGGTGTTTGGGTCCCAAACAGCTTGGAACCCTGGCCCTAAACCCTATGCAAACCCGTACCAGGCACAAACCCTATAAAACCTGCAACCCCTACTCCCGCCTTCTCTTAACGCTAACTCCTATAGCACCTCCTTTTGTCAGAATGGCTCTCAAATGTCGAATTAGTTCCGAGGTCCTGGGCTCCGGAGCTGGGGAGCCAGTGCGGCACGCATGGCTCCCGAGGCTGGGTTGTGGAAGGGTCGTAGAAATGGTCTTGCAGCAGTTTGCAGGCTACAGTACAGGGTTTAGACTTACTTTATAGCATTTTGGAGTCTTGGGGCCTGGAGAATTTTCTGTCCAGGCTGTGAAGCAATCGGGTTGGTAGCGCTTTATTATTTACATTTTTACGCAGCGGGGTACAGTAGCAAGGCTCAGGACTGTCAAAAGGCTGTTGCTCTGTGTTCTACTTAAAAAGCATGCAAAGGTACTCAACCTACTTACACCCCGACGCAACCTACTTAAGAAGGGGCGGGGAAATCTGCGAGATGCAAAGCGCAGGAGATGAGAAGCGCCTTGAGATGAAGGCGATTGCATGAAGCCAAGCCATGACAAATCTAGGCCTAGCATTGTTTTGCAAGCCTATCCTGACTCCTGCAGTGTGATGCCCAGAAACGTCTGCCAAAGCTGTGTGATAGCTGACGACAAGGTTTAGGTACTTCAAAAGCCAACACCTGGAACGTCAATGCCCAAAACTCCATTTCAAAACTTGAAAGCGCCTGCATCCGTGTCACAAAGGCCCACAGCAGGGACAACCTATGCCTAAGCTATGTACTTCAGGTTTGAAGAACTTCCCAGGCCGGTGCCGGTTGGAGAAGTCGCGCTCCCGCCGAGGATCTGTCTTCACGACGGCGGCGGGCAGTGTATGACGATCCTCGACAATCTGGCACGTGGTGTGCGCGATGTAGGTGCAAGTAGCATGAAAACTTCGACGAAACGGAGGGAAGGCTTTCTCATGCTTCCTTTGGTGCGCTGTCGCCATGCGAATCGTAGGGCCGCATCAGAATCATATCCTATATGCGGGACACAGGAACTCTGTGAACCTGTGGAGCTCTGAGCCCGAATTCTACATGTCCATCCCCGAAATCCAGAATCCCTGCCTCGCGCCGTGGTGGAGCCGTAGCTGCAAAGAGCGGCCGGCTGCTGCGAGAAGGCCTGGGGATCTATCTGTCATGAGCCGTCATCCCACAAGGCGTCTGCTCGAGGAAAGATCTGTTCAATCACATAGAATCACGATGGCAGTCCATTGCAAGGGAACCTGTTGATTACGACGCCTTCATTGGGGCTCAGTGGGCTTCAGCGCCTACGATTTCGTGCTTTCGGCTTGCAGGTGGTGGGTTTCCACGGGACCGAATGCGAGGCCAACGAGGGCATCTTTGTCTGTCACCAGGTAGCACCGAGATTGCGCACTTGCATGAATCACTGCACACATCGCTTTGCTACCCAATCTCAAAGCTCAGCATCTTTGCATCCCGGTTAGGGTCTGGCGGTCGTCTCTTTGCATCGGGGTCCTCGGCATAATCCTCGAGGAGAACCGCGCTGGGCTCTTCCTGGCCAAAACAGAGCTTATAGTTACAGTGGCCGGTTCTAGAACAGACCAGCAAAGCAGCAAGGAGCTGTGAGAGCACCGCATTCGATGCGCAAACCTTCGAGGACCATGGAACACTATACTGAAGCGAAGCCCACGAGTAACTGCGTCTATCCAAATGCCTCTCAACTCCTCATTTCCCTTCCAACTCTCCACCTTTCGTGCCGCAGCCCAGAAGGGCGGCATGTGGGGCTCTCGTGGTCGGAGCACTCTAGGGCTTCAGTGATTTCTGGGTGTTTTTTGCTGTGAGATAGTGGGGAAGGTTGGGTTCAGATGGTTTAGGGAGATGTCGGCGTGGGTACTTCTTGGGAAGAATGAGTTCACCTGTCAATAAAATGACGAAGCATGCTCAGAAGCTCCAGTATATTCGAGTTTGTTCTGCAGAGTTTGAGCGGCAACACTCTCTTGCGTGCCTGCCAGACAACTTCAGCCACGTGCAGCTATTGCGGGCTTTTGCAGCAACAAACGGCTGCGCCGGAGATGCTCAATACCTATGATCCCAAGCACGACAGGAAAGGGGTGGTAACGAAGCCGAAAAGTTCCGCATCACTAAACTGCGTATTGACGAGGCCAGAGGCTCCGAGAGCCCCCGGGTGGGGGGGGGTGGGGTGGGGTGGTTTGGATCCAGCGCCGGGGGGTGGGGTGCAGGGGGTATTAAAACTAAAACAGCTCCAACATTAATTGTGTGCGCTTCCTCGCAGTCCTACACTGTCCGGATCGTGCGGCGAGCAGGGTGGGTAGGGTGCACAAGGGCGCATGTGGTCACCGAGCCACATGAAGGTGGGCAAGAAAGAAATCCAGAAGCTGAAGCTCATATGATGGCACAAGAGATGAAGGTCTCATGACACGAAGAAGTCCCATCTTGTGTTGCAGAGCTTTTTGGCTTCAACGTCGCCCTGTTGGCGCGGAGCTACATTGAGCTCCCTGGAAGCCAAGTGACACACCGGTAAGCCCAACAGGAGCCCCTTAATCGCCCCTAGCTTCAGGAAATCCATAGTGAGCCCTCTGAGCCGGCAAACCCGAGACTATGCTGACCCGAAACGCCCAATACAGGACCTTATTACCTGTGCCTCAGCTCGCCGGGATGCAATCCTCACATCAGGTCAGCAGCACCTGGACCAGTCGAAGCTCTGCCAGATGGCGTGGGTTTGCGTGGATCATACGCTGCAGGGCTGTACGGCTTACCCCTGAACCGGACATGCAAACTGCCCGCAAACTCAGCCAAGCCTTTTAGCGATCTGGCGGTGAAGTGCCTGGCCGCCGTGAGCTCAGAACATTCTGGAGGAAAGGCTCGGCAGTCGCGGGCGGGTCATGCGAAGCTTCACGACTGTAGGGTGCTGCGTTTTTCGAGTTTGACACAGGAAATAGAAGACTTCGGGCTCACACAAAGCTTCTTGGAGGCCTTCTGGCGGTGCTCGAAAGCCAAGAGCAGCGCGCTAAACCTCGGCTGGGGGATGTCCTTTGGAGCATTCAGGTTTGGGACTGCCTTTGGTGAAGCGGACTTGTGGGAATCAGCTGGCGCTGGACTACAACATACTACAACAACACGAATGGCTGGAAATCGAATGTGATAACACCATGAGTGGAATGTAGCATGGGAATTGCGGCCTACCGCAGACCATCCAACCGGCTGAATGAACGACATGGCTCGAGGTCTCTGAGTCGTTCTCCACGTCCTTGCAAAAGTATGCACCTACATAGTTGAACGATGTTGTGCCCATGTGACGTAGTCCAACAAAGCATGCGACATGTTACCACGTCGCAGAATTACGAATACTGTCGCCACTGACGGCTCCTTACAGCTGCAGAGGATATCCAGCGTGTCAGGCGTTGAAGCCTCCCAAAGAGCCAAGACGTAGGGGGTGGGGGGGGGGGGGGGGGGGGGGGGGGCATTGGGGGAGGAAATCTTTAAAAGGAAGGGCTTTCATACGGCTTTCGTGGTTGTGGACTTGGACATCTGGGGCTTTTTTTGACATTGCCATTCGTTGCCTCGATGAGGGCCTCTGCTGTCACGTAGCCTGAGCTTTAGCAATGTTAGCACAAGGGCACACACACACACACACACACACACACACACACACGTGTACCAGTATCAGGCAAACGCAATGGACGTGGACGTGAAGCTCAGGCAGTAAGGGCTAGCAACCACAGCACGGGAATTACCGTAGTTGCCGTATCCTATCATGACCTACCGCACAGGGCTCTGTGAAAGTATTGATATACAGCATCTCAAGTCTGAGATCCTGAATGCCCACAGCATACCGCATCCCCAAAACCCGCAAGGGCCCAAGGGGCTCTTGTAAAGGAAAGCGAGGTGAAGGGGCGTGACATCCCGCCACAGCCAGGGCTCCTCCTAGTCACAGGGGCTTCGTGTTTTTCGCGTGGTCAGCCGTGGAGGGATGTTTCCTGCAAGAAGGAAGCGCTTGCGTCACTTCTGCCTTCTCCGAGTCTTTGTTGGAGTCGAGGGTTGCCCACACATGGCGACACACGGCACCCAGCATCTCCTGCAGCAAGAGTTTTATCCGAAACCGCTCCTAAGTGCGAAGCCTGCTGAGTACATGAGAAGCCGTACCATGACTGGAACTCATGACCCATCCTTGTTCTGCGGTGGCCGCTTCTCACCCGGGAAGACAAATGGCACCTCATTCAATCATTCAGGAACAGGGAGTTCGGAATACCTCGACCTGCTGACCATGCGGGCAAACTTTGACTCGATCTGGCACAACGTCCCAGTTCAGGTTGGTGCATTTCACTCGCTAAGCGCAAAACCTGCATTGCAAAGGTAGCTGCTAGACTTGACTTTGGCGCTTTGACGCAAACCGTACTAGTACATGTTAGCACCACACACACAGACACACCTCATCAGCACAGCCACAACTCTTGACACACCTTGTTCGGATGATCGGTGCAGGACCATTAGCTAGCTCGTTGGTAACGGGACGCCTGCCCCTTACACGTGCCTACTTTTCTGCAGGGTGCGGGTGCAGTCGTCACAAGAGCTGCTGCCTGCAAGACCCTTCCCGCCAAAATTTTGCTTGGCGCGCATAAACTCATTACGAGTTGAACGGTCCATATGAGTACATTATCCGCCGAGGCCTCGGGCCGGAGGTGTATAGGTTGTCAGAACAGGCACCCCCAAATCCTCCCTTTTTTTGGGCCTCAAATGGGTACCCCATCTGGGAAACCGGGGTCCGCAAGCGGACGGTTCGCCAGGACCAAAAACAGTTGAAGCCCCTATTAGCAGGCACTGCCTCCCCCCACCCCCCCCTCTTCCCCCCACCACCCCCCCCCCACCCTTCCTGCCCCCCCCTTTTCCCCCCACCCCCCCCCCCCACCCCCCTCCCCCCCCCCCCCCCCCCCCCCACCCCCCCCCACCCCCCCCCCCCACCCCCCCCCCCACCCCCCCCCACCCCCCAACCCACCCCCCCCACCCACCCCCCACCCACCCCCCCCCCCCACCCCACCCCCTCTTCCCCCCTTCCGGCCCCCCCCCTCCCCCCCTGCCCCTCCCCCCACCCCACCTCCCCCCTCCCCCTTAAACCTTAAGGGGCCTGGCTCAACCCTACGATCACTCCAAGCCGAACCCTAAACCCAAAAAAACCCTCAACCCCAAAGCGTGAACCTTGAGCCCTAAACTAACCCTCAACCCCAAACCCCAAACCATAAACCATAAACCCGGAACCCTCAACCCTCAACCCTCAACCCAACCATTATTGCTTGGGGTCCAGCGACTTGGGCGCTGCGGAATCACCATGCTCACGCGGATGCGCTGGGCCGGGCCGAGGCGGGTCGCGTAGCGTTAAAATTAACAAGATCTGTACATTATTAAAAAGATATGAATGGCGCACCAGGAGCCAATAGAGAAAGCCCTGCTTGGTCTTCGTGCGTTCTTCAATGTGACCGCTCACAAAGTTGGTTTGCGTTGCCTCGCTCTTTCTCCTCGATTGGAAAATAGCGTTCATCTTTCCATTGTAAATCTATTTCTCACGAACTAGATGCTGCCGGAAGTTGGCAGATAATGCATGAAGTTGAGCACGTGTGATGGATTATACAGCGCCCTTATACATCTTCTACGTATCTTCTTTAAACCCGAGACCCGCGATCCAGCAAAGCCGAGCGCAGCATTTTGCTGCGCTGCGTGGCCTGTGAAGATCTACATGCCCACCCGGGATCGTGCCTAAACTACAAACCCCCGACATCCCGTGTGGTTGCTGCCCAGGCCGCGTTGCCGCTCGCTTCCCCCAGCAGCGCCGAAGCGTTGGCCTACAGGGGCCAAAGAGAGATCTGGGGACTGATGCAAATTAATGTAAATGGAAACAGATGTAAGCAAATGTAAGTAAATGGGATCCACTCCGGTGCCCAAAATGTGAATGATGGAGAATCCGACAAGTCGGCATGCCCGGAGAGTTCGGGCTGCCTTCTGGGACTTCAGGCTTCTGACCATCTAGTTGCTGTTCTGAGTGCGTGTGCAGCTTGTCACACCCTTTTGCATGCGCCACCCTCTCAAGCACTGACACCCAGTAAGTCAGCAAGTCTTGCACTCGGCAATGATGTCGAATTCTGGGCCAAGAATCCTCAAACTCCAGATCACGAGAAACTTGAGGCTTCAAGGCCTTTAAGGCTTCAGGCTTCAGAATCAAGGCCCTGAGTTCTGAATCCAGGCAGAGATACAAGGATTCCACATTACGTCGCCTCAATTATGAAAGGCCTCCGCGGTCCCCCCACCCGCTCCCCCCCCCCCCCCCCCCTTCAGTAATATCTAGCGCGGGTCCAGCCCAGGAGAAGCTTAAGGCTCCAAGCCTTGAGGGGCCAGGTTAGCTTGAATCGCAAAAAGGCTTAAGGCCTTAAAGGTTTCGAGGGCAACCAGCCTTCTGATCCAGCAAAGCGCACAAGTGCAACGGCGTCAGACCTTTCAAGGAACGAGACTGAGTCCCTCAAGCAGTGCTTCAGCGCAGCCAACGGCGCTAAGCACTAGATCAACTGGAACCTCACTCGGAAGCCCCAATGACTTCAGCCGGATCTAACCAGGGCCTCTGAAGCAGTTGTCAGTGACGGAGTAGTGCCAAGGAGCCTTTTGGATTGAGAAGATTTGGCAAGATGTAAGCCGCATGCACATTTTATCCACCTAGCTCTGGCTGTCGCTGTCGCCTCAATGGCAACGTGGTCCACTGTCTGCAGGAGGTTGGCACCGAGCCTGCACAAACTTGGAACCGCAGAACTGATCTGATGCCACATGATCGGACAAAAGAGCGCTGTACTGTCACCGCAGCTGGACGCCGGGTGTCAGGCCTCACCAGCAGCAGAGCCACATCCCTCCTTCCCAGCAGCAGCGCCAGGTGGAGTGGAGCCAAGCCTTGGACGGTCTTTTGACGTCTTTTGGGCCAATCAGGGGCTTCCCCTCGTCGGTATATAAGATATACTATGCCGGCCGACAAGGCGCAAAGTCGACAACGGCGTCTTTTGCACGCTTTGTGAGCCTACACCATCCTATGTGAGCCTACACCCAGATGTAGAGATATGAGCTTTGCCTCGAGGCCCGGAGGTGCATAGAGGGGCAGAGGATGGCAGAGGACAGGGGCAGAGGACAGCATCGCCGAACTTTGCCGCCTCGAACTCCATCAAAAAACGGGCCATCGCTGGAAAGGCCGCAAGCCCTGAACTCTAATCGCACTCCTGCGCAGACTCACAGAATTGGAGGCTTCGTCAAACTCTAGGCTGTTAGCTGACTTGGCTGCTGCGCGTTCCGTGACACTTCAACATTCTGCCACCGATTGTTGTCGCGGGAATCTTGAAGAGTTAACCTAAAACCTTATAAACCTTATAAACCCTATGAACCTTATAAACCTTATAAACCTTGTAGACCTTGTAGACCCTAAAATCATGGACATCTGCCTGCCCGGTGCCCCTGATGCTTCTGAGGACCCTGCCTTGCCAGGCCCACAAGGGCTGTGGCAAAGTCCGCTCGTCCACCTGTGTGAGTAGAACAACCTTCTGGTCCTACGAGTCTAACTATCAGCATATTGGCCAGAGTCATGGCTTCTCACTGTTTGCAAAGCCCATGCAGAATTGGCGGATACTGCCTGGCATTAATTATTGGCATTGTACGGATGTTCAGATCCTTTGAACATCTGCCACCGCGCGGCCGACAGGAAACGCAAGCCAAATCAAGCCAACAACTCAACTGCCTGCCAAGGGAAGAAGGGTGGCGTCATGTCCGGTGTCAGGGGCGCAGCATAGTTCCTCAACACATGCTTCTACGGTTTCTGCACGCATGCGTCCTCTGCAGGATATACTGCTGCTTCCTAGCCTTCTGAAGTACTTAAAAGCTGGAAGTCCGTACACAATCGTGGGGTCATGTCAGAAGCCCGAGGGGCACGTCTGGCAACAGCCCCTCGTCGCGCAGCTCGCGCAGCATCTCCAAGGATGCAGCACGCACGCACAGCAGCGCCAGGTCCTCACACCGGGGGGAGGCAGGGGCAAAGGGGGGAAGGGGGGTGGGGCATAGATCAAGGCTGTGGGTGACTTGACGGCCTACGCAAAGACATCACCATGCATCCATATCTGAATATGCGACTACATCATTTCTGGACTTGCATGCTGCTCCGCTTGGAGGTGAAGCAGGGATTTACTTGGCTGGGTGAAGATTAGGATGAGTTCAGCTGCTGTACCAGTACCAGCAATCCCGACGGAACATACTTTCAGCTTCTTTTATGCGGAGATGTGCTGGAAGACCCCAGTCCATCTCCAGCCCCTGCAGGTTGGGATTCTCCAAGGGGTCGAGGAGCGCCTGATAAGCTACAGCCGAGGGACGCATTAAATCAGTAATGCTAATCGCGCGAGCAGGAGTGCGAAAAACGAACCAAACCATCGGACAAGGTCAAACTGGGTCGCTGTACAACACCAGCTGCCACACCCAGGCTGCATGAAATTGAGGGATTGGGACCTTCAAGAATGCGAGCACGCGGGCTCAATGAAGCTCCCAAGATGTACTCTTTCCCTTTTTCTGCGGCTCGGGATTGTCTTTTGGTGCATAGCAGAGAGCCCAAGAAACCAACCCTTGATCACTGCCTCGGTCACGAAGCCCTCCAGCTTGGCGCCCGCCTTCAGCAACGCCTGCCTCAGGGTTGCAGCTGGGTTCGGGCTTCTTTGACCATAAGATCCAAAATCTAAACTCTACACCTTGCAGCTGGAGGAAACCCCAGGTCCCTCAACCCTAAACCCGAAACCTTAAACCCTCGGGTTCAAGGTACAAAGCCCAGAGTTGGTCGAGGACGACTGCCAGGTGCACCTGGCACATCTGGAAGTTGCAGTGAGTGGGGCTTATACAGTTCGTTTATAGGGTTTAGGGGTTCGGTAGTGAGGTTGGAGCGACGAGCATAACCTCCCTGACTTAGACAAAAGCAACTTGCCATCTACAGGTCGAAGCCGTGTACTGAACCGGCACAAACTCAAGCGCACTGCCGCCCATTGTTTCTCCGATCTTTGAGCCAAGTCTGGTGCCCTGCACAAACTCTGTGCTTCTCCCGGCTGAGACATTTTGAGCCCAAGCTGAAATCGGCATCGTGTCTTTAGCGGGGCGTAACTGGCGTAACTGGCGTAACTCTGCAGAACAACTCTCCGTGCAATGCCATGCTTGGCTTTAGAGTGGCACCGAAAATCTCCATGTTTCGGTGACAGCGCTAGCCATGCGCATTTATCAAGGTTTCGAGTCAAGGACGTACATCGTATGTGCATCTTACCTCACGCTCCACCTTGCAAAAAAAGAATGAACGATCAGGCCATGAGCGTGAAAAAATGAATATGAGTACGCCAATCCTGGCAATGAGATGACAGATAGCCATCTTCTTAATGATAAACAGTCTCGGATTCGAATTCGTAAACTCTATGTATGTTGTATGCCCGTCCTGCCCGAGCCCACATTTTGGAGAAAGGGGCCCAGCAAAGGAAGTGGAGGCTTGGCTCTCGCAGCACTCGAGGTACTGGTAGCGATGGTGCTGTGCATCCCAAGAAGGACAGCAGTTGTCCCCAAGGTAACGTCTGGCGCAGTGTGGGTTGTTTTTGCACAGACGCGGGTCGGCTTGCAAATCTGCAGCCGTCTTCTCGTGGCTCGTTTGGATCATTCCCTGACCATCGTGCTCCGGACATACACCTGCCTCGCATGGAGCCTGAACGAGTGGCGGACATGCCAGAAGAACGAAGAAGAGCCGCAAAACCATCGGTGCAGGAGCAGAGCTACTGTGTTGCTCAGAGCAGTGAAGTGCTGCGCCGGACACATTCAATGTGCAAGACGTCCAGTCAAGCACGAGTATGCTTCTGAATAGTCAAGTCATGTCTGCTGTGACCCGACAACTAGTAGTTGACTTGCAGTGGCAGGAATAGCCGCAGCGTTCAGTAGCAGCAGTAGCAGTAGCAGCAAGTCGTAGCAAGTTGTCGCTGGGCGCGGCAAGAAGTAATAAACAGTGGAAACCAGAGCAACGGACTCGTGCTTTGACAGCACAATGGAGTGTCAACCAAATATAGAAGCAATCGCACCACACGCATGTGATTGGACTGGCCCCTCATGCGGAATGGCTAGCCTGCTTTGGCTGCTTCAGCTGCTTCCTTTAGAAGAGCAGCTCTTGATAGCTCTTGCTGCTGCAATTTCCCTTTTGAAGATTTTTTCTCCTGCAGTTGCCAGGTTGAAGGTCTAGGGTTTTTAGGTGGGTTTGTGGACGTTTGGGGCGTTGCGCATTGATTAGGGCTTGTAGGACCTGGGGTGTTTCGGCAGGTTGAAACGCGTTTAAGGCCATGGTGAATGTTTCAGCCAGTGCACAACACGCACCTGTCAATCGATCGCATCGTATCATACCATAGCATCTCATACCATAGTGTAAGAAACCACATAAAGACGTAAACGCACGCTGCATTGCAAGGTACAGTGGCAGGCATCCAGCTCAGCGTCAGCACTGCTCTTCAAGGGCGCGCCCCTTGAATCTCAATGTCCCAGCCGAAGTTAGACGCCAAAACCAACACCTGCTGTAAACCCGAGCTTCATCGAAAGAAGTTCGTCCAGCATCCCTCAAAGCATTTTATCAAGCCCAACCAGAGCGTTGAATGTCTAGCCAGAATCGCCGGGCGAATGCCATCAAAGGCTGTCCGCCCATTGCAAAAGGCCTCCACCAGCCTCTCAAAAGGAGATGCTATCAGAGAGCTCAAGTTAAGCGATCTGCGGGGACGTTGGCTCAGGGAAGTCCGGAATCAAGTCCGCTCTGGGGATGAGGGCTGCACAAGCAACACCTTGAAGCTAAGCAGCTTGCTTCAGACTTGTAGCCGGGTACTTGCGACAGCAGATTCTCAGACTCTGCCCACTGATTCCAGCTCTAGGGATCTGGAAGCTCATAAACCAAAGTCTCCTTTGTGGGACGGCCTCTCGGTCGTTGCCGAGGAGGAGAGGGCCTTGCCTGCCAGAATTCAAAACGCAGAGTGTCTCGAATGTTGCTGCACGGTTTGCCAAACTTCTAAATTTTCAACGACATCACACGGCGGCTTCCCTCATGCAAGCAACAGAAGGGAGGGGGTGTGCCTGATGACTCTGCTGACCATCTGAGCAAATTGCCACAAGGGAAAGGAGCCGCTAAGTAGCCATTACTGGTAGCAGAGAATTCCCGAAGTGAATCCCAGAAGTCGAAGGAGGCGCTGACAAGATAAACTCACATCCGAGCAAGGGGCACTGGCCTTCCAAGAGCTCTTTGGCCTCCTCTCCTGATATCGGCCAGGCAAAGGCCTGCCACTGGGATTGTCAGGCATAGGCCATGGAACCGAAAGTTTCACCAGCCCAAGACCTGCCAAACCTCAAACCCTCAGCTCTCCTAGCTTCGGCCTTGTTCAGGTCTGTGCGCTGCTCTAGCAGCTCTTGCAAAGTCTCCGGGCCCATGAGTATGGCTTCCACCCAATCCTGGCGGCTTGAACGCGTTGAGCGGTTTAAGCGTTTAAGGGTTTCGGTTTAGAGGCAAGTTGAAGGGTTCAGGCTGGGCTTTGGAAGCTTCCTGTTGAGTCATGGGGCGTTCAAGGCTTATCGGATTCTGTACAATAAATACAGCGGGGTGTTTCTGGGCTTTGTGAGCCAAGCTTGCAGCAGAGATGAGCTCTCAAGCATCGTGTTCGAAGGGTCCTGGCTTCGTGTCTTCAAGGTTTCGGAATCCCCCCCCCCCCCCCACCCACCAAAAAATGAAACAGAACAAACAAACACAATACTACCTACTACACACCAGCGCAAAACAGCCCGCAAACCCTTTGACATCTCTTGTAGTGGCTCGCCGAACCTGGAGGCTGATGGGCGAGGAACCCCCGAACATCTCCCGAAGCGGTCGCCGCTGCAGGGCAGCCTTGAGCTCTTGGCCGTGAACACAAAGCAGTCTTAGCCGCTTGAGGGGGTTATTGATCTAAAGGAGATACAGAACTTCTGGTCGTGTCTGTAAATACCTGTATATCGACACATTCTCGTTTCTGTTATACGCATTGTTCACATGTCGTCTCCACCTATATTTTCCTGCAGCGTCCAGCCTCGCGGATGGTTTCAGTCACCTCCGCGCCGCAATCAATGCAGCGCGTGCAGCCCTGCCATCCGGTGGCGGTGCGAAAAGCGGTCAAAACTTCACAATGTTCCGAAATTACTCTTGTGGGGTAGACACTGGGCAAGGTGTCAAGAGCTCCGAATCGCCAGCTCTTAATATTATTCCTCCAACCTAGATGACCTAAAGCAAGACATGCATACACAGACTGCCTACGTCACAAAGCCAGGCCTTGGCATCTTCCATGAGCACGGCCAGGTGGAGTGGCGTGACCTGGATGCTACAATCAGCAGAACAGCTTGCTTTTGGACAGTCTTAGGGCACTCCGAGCCACTGAAACCAAAAAACACGTATCGAACACGTATCGAACTTATCGAAATCCCTGAACCTCCTAAAGCCGTCCTAAACACCCCAAACCACTTAAAACCCTGCCTATGAGCTCCTATGCAATCGGCGGAGGCCTCTGTGACAGTGCCGTCGGGGAGGCGCTGTTTTGCCACTGCCTTGAGGGTTTGTTGAAATTAGGTCGGTTAGGACTTTCGGGTCTAGAGCAAGAGATGCGACGATACTTCTTGCTGCACTCTCACTTCAAGATAGCACGAATCAACCAAGGGATGGAGTCATCATAATACCGTGAGCTGGTAGATCTGACAGGCAGACCTGCCCAGCATACAGCACCCAAAAGCCCCCAAGTCCCTCAAGCGTAAACGCAACATCCATGATCGCGAAACCCAACCGTCATCCGGCCAAAGAGGGACGCCTCGAGCCGGCAGTCCAGCTGTTTCATGGGCTCCACCAGATCCTTGGAGCGCGACACTCTCTGGGGCTTCTTCTTTGCAGGCCCCCTTTGGCATCTTCAGCTTATGGAGGTTGTGGGATCCCTCAGCGAGCCGGGGCACGTAGCTTCGGCTCAGCACCACAAGGTGAAGCAAGCTGAGACCTGTCCACTCCTCGCACAGCCTGGGCTGGGCACATCCCGAGATTCCCGGTGTCATTGTTACTGTTAAAAAGTTTTTGGGGATCTAGGGGCCTTCTAGGGGCCTAATCTCGAGCAGCTTAAAGCAGGCTCGGAATGGCTCGAACCAATCTCACCTATCTCAGCGGAGTGGCTCCTTGTCCTGGCCGGAGAAGACTTTACCAGAACCTCGATTTCACATCAGTACCAACACGTGTATAAGCAACGAGGTGATCTTCTGCCCTCCACTTGACCAGACTTGATAGGAGCTTGCAATGCAGAGGCGAGAGTCGTGCCTGGACTTTGTTTCCGTCCTAAGACTGCCACCCTTACAACACCACTTCCGAAGCCTCTATTTCTTATGCTTCGTGCCTCTGCTTGCGTGGAGGGCACATGTGAGATCGGGGCTAATGTCGAAAAACAGCAGCTGCTCGACCATGACCAGATCCCCGCGAAGGACGGCCTGAGGAAAGAAGTCGGAAAGTCGGGGGGGCGAGTCCGGGGACGCGTCTGGGAGTCGCTGCCTTTTGAGAAGAGACAGAGTCGGACAAAAGTGAACAAGATGATGGATATGTGGAGTACTGTGGAGTCGAGTGGAGTTGAGAGGTCTTTTCGCGGCCGAGCTGCCAGTTGCACGGCTTGGGTTTGTAGCAACATCACTCGCCTTGCAGCACTGAAAAGCGTTGGCAGCATGGCGAACGGTGGTTGTTAACACATGCAGCGCCCGATGAGCACCTTGAGTTTGAAACCACCCAATTGCTTGGAAGAACGAAAACGCTGCGCAGGTTAGCAGGCAAGAATGCCATGGCTGCAGCTTCGCACTGGCTGCCTGTCGTCCATGGCCAGCACTTGCCGCATACTTCGAGCAGCATCGGCACCGGCATAGAGCCTTATGAGATGGTCGGAGTGCCTTTCTATTGATCCCTGACGGCCGAAAAAATGCTTCAAAGGCGTCCAATCTCAAACGCCATCTACAGCTGCTTGTGCTTGGGGCCGTGGGGTTTTAGCATGTGGCCTGTTGCCTAGAATGTCGGGACAGGCATTCCAAAGCAACCACGGTGCCTGGCATCAAAGAATTCGAATTATCTGATGTTCTGAATTCTGAGTTCATCGCATCCAGGAACCAAAAAAACCTCGCCATGCTGCCCCCAAGGCACAGCAGCCGAACGGCCTCGCAACGGCCCGCCTGTGCCGAATGAAGGCAGGGTTCAATCAGGGTGCAAAGCAGCTCTGTCGTTTACATGACTGTGTGGCTAGTGCTCTTGTTGTGTCGTGCTCTGTCGTGCTCTGTCGTGCTCTGTCGCGCTGGAATTCTTGTTCTTGGAGATAGTGTTGGTCTGCGGGAACTGACTGCATCAGGGCCCAGAAGCCACCCAGTCGGCCTTGGAACCCCCAAAGTGCATCGTTTATAAGGTTGGAAGATTCAACTGATTTCGCTGTGACAACTCTCAACTCTCCCTCTGTCCACAGTATTCCGCATTTCTTTGTTCGAGGGCCAGAGCCACCTGAGGGACAAATCATGAAGAGTGACCACAGCCCATCCGCTTGAGATTGCTTTATTGCCCTGAAGAGTGCCTGCGCAGCGAAGAGCAATGCCGTGGGCGCCTCCTCTTCTCGTCCTTCCCGCATCCCGCACAGATTCAGGCTTGGAAGGGGGGGGGGGGCACGAAGGGTGCACTAGCTCTGCATCGAGCCTCGGCTTCGATAACTTTAGGCCAAAGTCAAACATTCCATGCACCAAACAGCTCCTGCGTTCTCAGAGCCTTCAGGCTCCGGCTCCCTGATAGGGAAGTCGATGTCATTGGCACATCTGTATGTCACCTGAGGCCACCGAGGGTTGATCTACTGTGACGGCGGACATCACTATCATCATTTCACTTCCCCGTTTCCCGGGCAGACAGGTCGCATCATGGTCGCGCCGCAGGACGGACACCACCTGAAGCTGCAATGCACAAAAAACACGTTGCGGCACGAATTAAAGCAGAAAGCTTTCCCGCCCACTCCACTGCCAATAACAGCCTACAAAGGGGTGCCTCCAAGAATTCGTTGAGGTCGTGGGCGAGGCCGGCCGAACGAATGATCAGCTGAACCTGACACAGGGGCCTGGAAAAATTCAGGCCACCAGCCTGATCATCTTTTCACTCCTTTCTCCGCTTCAGGGTTCAAAGCTGAGTGTGCTTCACGGCTCTTTGTATCCATTGCTGGCCTCCTCGCCCAGAAGCCTATCCAGGCGCTCCTCCGTAGCATGCTGGTTGCCCAGCAGCCTCGAGGCAGCAGCAAGCCCTAACTTAGCTGTATGCGAGGTCTTTAAGGGATGATGGTGGGTGGAGATGCAGGGGCAATCGTTTTAAGACGCCAATCTGGCCAGTTCTTTGGCTTTCAGCATGTCGTCCAGCCTTGGGAGAAGTAAGCCAGGAATTTCACCACCTGAGCTGGCCACTTTGGCTTGGCTTTAACAGCCTGTTAAAAGCTGAGCGTTGTCGAAACTTGCGTGCGCGCACCGATCGCAGTCACACACACACACACACACACACACACACACACCCACACCCACACCCACACGCGCACGCGCACGCGCACGCGCACGCGCACGCGCACGCGCACGCGCACGCGCGCCTGCGCGCCCGCGCGCACGCGCGCACGCGCTGCGCACCCGCGCACCCGCGCACCACGCGCACGCGCACTCGCACACACGCGCACACACACGCGCACACACACGCGCACACACGCACACACAGCACACACGCACACACGCACACACGCACACAGCACACACGCACACACGCACCACACACACACACACACACACGCACACGCGCGCGCGCGCGCGCGCGTGATTGCGTGCGTGCGTGTGTGTGCGTGTATTCATTGCCTTTAACTTCAGTATTCATACCACTATTAATATTATAGGTCGTTCTATAGCTAGCCATGATGGATGGCAAAACACGCATATGACATCTGATATGCAATGATTCTCAGCAACCCAACCCAGGGCATTGCTTGTGTTCAGCCATATGCCTGGAGACTGAGACTGTAGCAACTGATGTCAGAATCTAAGCCGGCGGGCCTCGTCTTTGGAGGCAGCAGGAGCTGAGCCTCAGCCCTCTTCTCATCAGGAGCCGGTAGACCTCCGGGGTAAAGGGGTCAAGGGCTCCATTTGCATGAGAAAGTGGCATGCTACACGACGCTACAGGATGCTGCAGGGTCCGACCTCCTCGCTGTAGATGTCCTTGGCCACCAAGACCTTGCAGTCCGTGCCCATTTGTCAATTACTGGCGGGGTGGGGGGAGGGGTGTTGGCACACATCGAGCCGTGTAAATACATCACCCCCAGGCTGCTGGTTGATGTTCACACATGACCAACGAGATTGCGCATCGACAGATGCGCAACCCCATTCTGGATGCCGCGTTTCCTTATCATCACAAAACAGACTAAACCTGATGGGAGCTGACGCCTTCGGCACTGTTTCTTTTGATCTTGTCGAATGCAGCACCGCGTCCCAAGGAAACACTCGATGTGGCTGTTGTCTTCTCGATAGGCGCAGGTACCGACTGTTGATCTTCCATATTCCTGATCCATGTGCCGAGCGTAAAACCTTGAAACCCTCGACCCTGCAGGGCTACATGGGATTTGTGTCCGAAAGACCCGCTGTGAGAGCTTCACCCCAGAAAATTCATCCCAGATCATGCTCCGAAATGCAAGAATCGGCTGCTGCAACAGCCTGGATCAGTGCCACAAAGCGATGCAAGTTAGCACCAGCCCGCCAAGTACCGTGCCAACCATGCCAAGCCACCACAACATCTAATTATAGAGCTTATGACAGCCGGAAAACATTCGCAAATGTGGCTCAATGAATGCTCTAAGCAAGTGGACATGCAGCGCGTGGAGGCCCATCAGGGTATGCGCCAGTGTCTCCACTTCGCCCTCCACTGCGGAGGCCTGCACGCTAAAGGGTTGGGAAGCATGCGTCGTGCTATACTTCATGCCCCCAGACGACAGGTGAAGCCAATTCGACAGTGGGGCCGTGAAGCTTGCATCAACCGCCCTCTGACGCCTCTGCCTCCGCGAAAATGTCGCCTGCACAGCTGCTCTTGAGGCAATTAAACTTTTCAAGCCAACACCTAGTCCACGGCTCTCTCAAGAGGTGTTGGCCCCTGAAAATGCCTGACAGTCCCTACCAAGTGCCCCATCAACCCAAGGCGAGCTACGAAACCCAACGTACAATGCTCACAAGCTACCCCTCTTGAACAGCCCAAGCAGGCCTCCTGCCGCCAAGAGCGCCTCCACGACCGCGACGTCCCCGCGCAAGGCCGCTCCGTGAAGCGGCGAGCAGAAGAGGCCTAGCAGAGTTGTGCCGAATTCAGGCTCTGTACTACTGTTGCATGACAACAGGCTGGCAGGGCGCACTATCCAACAAGGACTTCTGGCGAGGCTGAAGAGTTGCTGTGAGGGGAAGGGTGATTGGGAAAATTCGCTTGGAGGTCCAAAGCGGGGTATCTTTGTCGCTCTCGTCTCAAGTCAGAAGGCTGCACTACACGCTACACTCGTTAACGCTATACCCGATCACTCCCAGTTCCCAAAAGAGCCGAAATGAGCCGAAGCTTTTGCCCCTTGTTTGGGCCTGCGTAGAAGCACTGCACATTGGGATCGGCTCCCGCTGCCACCAGCTGGGGCCTATCAGGCAGGGCTACTCATTTAGAGGTATAGGGCTTCTGGGATCAGGGGTGGAGGGTTGAATCAAAAACGCTGCTGTGCGCATGTCTGCTCTTCAGAACAGGAAGGCGGAAGGCGACAACACACACACACACAAATACACACACACACACACACATCTCAAATTTCTACTCGGGTAAATGTCTGTGGGTGCACTAGGCATGAGCTTGTATTAATCCGTGGTAGATCGTGCCAAGAATGCCCGACTGGGACCAGCATATCTTTGCCGGAATCTCAATAAACATAACCGCCAGGGCCCCTGCAGCTGATCTTCCAGCCGTAGCAGAGAGGCGACAAACCTTTGCACTCAAGGTTGAGTGGAACTTACAGCATGGGCTCTTGACTACTCCGTCTGCGTTTGCTCTTCCTTGGGCAATCTTGAACAATAAGCTCTTCCTTGGGCAATCTTGAACAATAATTACATCATGCAGATGGTTAGATCGCGTTCGCTCGGCCAAAGCAAAGCGAGCGATAACATCTGTTGTTCATGACGACATGTGCGCTCGAAAACGCTGTCGTAAAAACCTCGATATGATCGTTCGATTCGTGAGCATGCATGTCGAACAGGATTATCCACTCAACCACTGTAGCAAGGTGTTGATCCTGCATGGTCCTCATGCACCAAGTGGCAAAGGAGTCAGAAACACGCCCTCCCAGTCGATGCTGGCTTCGTTGATGCCACTGCTCCTAAGCAAGAAAGAAAGGGGGGGGGGGGGCGTGTTGCTGAAGTCCGACAGTTGTGTCAATGGATAAGCCCTTCCCTTTATCATTCATATCTTTTCATCTGGCCTTGAAATGGGCTTTTACACGGGCCGGTGATGATGTCAAATTGATGCATGTTCCTTACTATTTTGTGATTGCTTCCTGCCCGTGAATTGGCTTCACTCAGTAATTTTGTTATTCAATTTCACCTGGCCAAACAGTAGCAAAATAGGCCGCGTCGCTAAAATACACTACTTTCTACATCGTATTGAAAGAGCCTCAGTAAAAGTACTAACTTGCAAGGCCCTTTCTTCCCGCTCCAGCAATGATGAGGCGGAAACAACGAGACTCCAGGACTAATTGCGGCGTCCACTGCTCACGAACTTTCAAGAACGACTGCCTGCTAGACCCCTCACACTCTAAGCAGCAATCCTTTTGCCGTCTCCTGCTACGCATTGCCATAATCTTTGGAGCCCAGGGGCTTGTGATCTTGTGACAGCAGCTCTGTCAGCGGCTGGAAGTCACTGGGCACAGGATTTGTTGAATGCATCGCTGGATCATGATCATGTGCAGTCATGATGAAGGTGAGAAGGATCGAGAAAGTCCACAGACTTGCAAAAACCTTTTGCCTCGCACAAAACTTTCTGGGCCCGACCTCTGGAGGCACACGGCGAGAAAGGCACTCTTCCATTGATCGGCGGCCATGTGGCTGAGGCACAATCCACAATGAGATAACTCCAGCAGCCCTGTTCTCGGATGGTGCGCGGTCATGTTTGTAGTTCGGTGCTCGACGGCAGGCAAAACATGGGCATTTAAGGCGTCTGCACTTTTCAGGCTGTGCTCTGTCTTGTCTACACAACACTACTACAAGGAGCCAGAGGACGGACCTGCCAGATGCTCAAGCAGTGGCTGAAACCTCACACAGTTCCACCTTCGACCTTCGAACCGACTGGCAGAACATGGCAGGACAGGAAGAAGAGCTTTGAGAAGTGGGGGGCAATTTGGCCTCAATTTGTCTCACCTTCTGGGGGTCCGCGGCCTTTGCCGCACGGCACGTCTCAGTGCGGTGGAGCCCTGTGCAGGGCTTCTGCGGCTTCTCCAAAACAGAGGTCTTCTGAGGATTCACATGGACGTGGCAAGCAATGTGTGATCAGAAAAAGGGGTGCCTTATGTGGACACGGCGGCTTGTGTGGCATCTATATACTTGCTCGATGGTTTCAGAAATTTCAAGCACAAACGAAGAAGTTTGAAGCACTTGTGTTTCTGCCGACGGCCTCGTCGTACTTGTTCGACGCCTCTAGGACGAAGGATTCTCTGGGCTCATGCGGAGCATGTCTGACCTCCGAACGCTGTGGGAACAAGCTACCCATACCGAACAAGACTGAGGGCATTTCGAGAAGCATGAACTGACAATTGTGAACTCGCGGGGAAAACTCCATGGATTGTGGCTTTCCTATATTGCCAGGCATTCTGGCATGGTGTTTGCAGTTGCTGATGGAGGCTGACTCCTTAAAGCCGAAAAAGCTCTAGAATCGCCCAGCTGCCAGCCCCGAATCATGTGAACTTATTATGAATCCTCGAGCACTCGGAACCCCTTGAAGTCCCGCCTCGTGTAGCAGGGAGACCCTCCACAAACTCATATTGAGGGGTTTAGACGAGGGGCATCGGTTTCTTTTTCAATCAACCCTCTAACTTCTCCAATCCCTTTCCTCACCAATAAAGGGGGGTGCATTTTGAGAGCAAAAACCTCCAGCCTAACTGATAGGGAGGGGGGGGTTAGGGTGGACGCGATGCACACATCAACAGATGTCTTACCATTACCTGGCACAAATGCCTAACACAAATACCACCATCACCGCTGCCGCCACCACCATTCCCGTTTAAAAACTAAAAGCACGGTTCATAGCATTATATTGCAAGGTAAGATGCAACAACAGTCTATGCCGAATCATGTATATCCCCCCCCAATGGAGAAACTCCCAGCCTCCTGCCGCGGACTTTGCGCGCCGGGGTCGCGATCTGCCTCCATGCCGGGCTGGAAGGCTGCCTCCGCCTCCGAGGGAGCTTCCACTACTTGGAGGTTCTTGGGGGTCTGACGAACCTTCAAGTAGTTCCCTTGTCATCCTGCGAGGTTTCAGCTCTGCCCGGAGGTTTGGGCATTGGGAGTTCTGATCAAGTACGAGCAGCATCACCAAGCTAGGCCGCAACCCACAGCATGTGAAGGTTGGAAGCCTTTTGTTGAGGTTCACTCTTTCGGCTGCGGGCCGGCATTACCTGCAACGTCCAGTTTTTTGTGACTCCAAGTTTCGCGTGGGTTCAAAGCCTCGGCTCCTTTGAACCTACTCTGCAAAGCCTGGACGATCCAGCCTCTAGGCTACTTTTGGGACATGGTGTGGCAAACAGGGCCCATCACCTCTGTTCCATTCACGGACCCTTTGGGTCCATTTCCTTCCCCCCCCCCCCCCCCACCCCCAAAACCCCCCAAACCCACCTCAGGCTCCCTGTGGCTGTCAGTCGGTGTGCTTGGCCCGAATGGATCTCTCAGCACTCCTGGCAGCACTCCCCAAGAAAATCAACTAAACATGCCCACCGTCTCCCTTTCGTCATTCGTCATCCAAAAATATGGCCCGGTTACTTTTAAAAGGCGGCCCCTAACATTCGGGGCACCCAAAGAAGGGGCCATGATTTAGCGAACTCACCAATATTTCCGCGCATATATATATATATATATATATACATATATTAATATACATCATACATCATGTGGCTGTCTGACTCCTTCGTTCTCGTGGTCCGAAAGCTCCCGAGGGCTCAAGGGCTCCAGGGAATCGGCGAAGCTGAGGTCCTTGATCGCTTCATATGCGTATTTCCCAAAATAAGGGTACCCCTTTTTGGATGCCAAATAGAAGAGAATCCCCTTAAAGGGACCCCCAAACAGGGTTCCCCTATTTTCGGAAACCCCGATGTGTCTTTGCAGGCTCTGACTCGGGGTTTTCAGGGGTCTGATCCAAGTTGGATGATCCAAGGCTCTGGTGGCAGCTTGTCGAAAGCCTTCCTGCCCAGTTCGCTCAATGTGCAAAAGCTACCCATGACGTGCCAGGCTCGCAGAGAAAGGCACTCTGCAGGATCATTCCGGCCTCGAGGCCGCGCGCAGCGCCCGCGCACAGCGCCTGCAGGTCGTGAGGTTCCCCAGTAAGGCAGGCAGGAAGAAAGTAAGGCGGAGTATGACGAACAAAAATTCGGAAATCTCGGCCGGAAGGCCATGGGCTCGGCTGGACTGGTGCCTTTCAAGGGACTCGCAGCGTGTGCGGAGGAAGTCTGTCTCCCGGTCCACCTGCGAATCTCCACCGAGGGAACAAAATGCTGTGCTGGCTTCTTGGTACAGCAGAAACAGATTTGCAACTTAAGCTTTCAAACTTTAATGGTTAAGCAGCGGTACAAAGTAGCTTGTTCAGGACCAGGACTCCCCTGTCTGTGCCGTGCCAAAGTCAACTGTAACCTCTCAAACCCCCACGTTCCCGTGAGCATCAGAACCCAAGGTGTTGAAATGCAGAAAAAACCCTGTAACCTGAGGCACGGTGGGGCCTCGCTGTCGGATGCAGAATCGTCAAATTCCTGCCGGAGGGAAGAGGGGAGGCTGGTAGGGAAAGGGAGGTGTATCATAAAGAGTACATTTCGTACGCCCTTGGCGTTGCTGTCAAATTGTTTCTTGGAAGCGGGCCTGGGGGTCTAAGCCGGATGCCAGCAGCCCGCGCAGCTCGCTGGACAAACTCGGATGAGAGAGGCAGCCATTTGCACGTGTGCCAATCCTGCTGAATCGGGTACTGCTAGATCATGGGTCGGGCTTCAGCTCGGGGATGAATGAAACAGCTCCCCCGAGGCCTAGGACCCCTTGACGCACAACATCTGAAACGGGATCTGCGGGTGCCTGGAGACCTCACCGGCGGACTTGTCGCAAAGGAGGCGCAGAGACTGGCTCTCCTGAAGCCTCTGAGGATGTTCAATACACTTGCTTTGCCCAAAGGTGTAAGCATTGTATGTACCAGCCTGGTACTGACACAATGGCATGTCACAACAAGCGTCAGGGCGTAGCCGGCTGTATCGGGGGAAGTCATTGCATCTGGCGGCTCATGTGTTGCTGGCGTTCTGTTGTGGCAGCATCGCTCAACGTTGGCACCTGTCCTAGTCGTAGATGCCGACTGGCTCGAAATGCTGCAGACGCAAATGTTGTGAATTTCAGCATTTTCGGCGGCTCGAAGCGAAGCTCGACAATTCTGCGAAGTCGAGTTACCGCATAGCGACATTGTGCAAAAAAAGAGTAGCATTTATGGGTCGTGGACGCCTTCAAGCAACATTAGACACATGACTGAATTGCACATCGTAGTAGTGGCACAAGGCTTGAAACAGGCTTTGTGGATTCCTGGCTTGTTAGTACCTATGTACGCTTGGTCTATGTGGTTCCAGAAGGTATGATCGACGCATGTACAACCTTAGGAAAAGAGCTAGTTCGAAAAAGACTGAGGTGGAGCGGCTGCTGAGAATGAAGTGGCAACTAGTTTATATGCCTATGTCGGAGCTCAAGATAACTTTGTACACCATCCAGTTCATGAGACCCCAAAACAAGCATCCCGTCCGATCGGGGGACCAGGGGACCAAAGACAGGAAGGCACTGAAGTCTTCAGCAATTTCCAAGACCTCGCTACTCCGAATTTCTCTGCCTTGCTCTCAGCTCCGCGGCGGCTGCCGCGCTTCGCGCGGCACCGTCGCTGCAGCGCTGGGCAGCTGCAGCCTCCGTGCTGCGGAGGCCTCGAGCCTCAGGGCAATTCGCTTGTAGAGTCTGTACATAACAATTCTGGTGAACAAGTGTTATGTATATCATATACATACACATATGTACTTGTACAAAGGTAGAGATAGTTGAGGCCCGATATCGCTGGAAGTTGGCAGACGGTACTTTATAATTCTTGTGAGTCTAGTCAGGAGGGTGCCCTGCATGGTATGTATGCAGAGCCCGCCTGAAGTCACTGCTGAGTGTAGTATGTATGTGAGATCATGTGGGCATTCATTGTCACACCTTTTTGAAGTGAAGAAGCCAAGCAAACTCATCGGCAGTAGCCTGCAGCCACAGGCCTGAAGCAATATATTCCAGGCCCGTGCCTCCTCTTCGTGCTGCGCAGTCAACATCGCAACTTCGTTTTCCTGGCTTAACGAGCGCGGCTATTGTACATCGGTCAGAATGTGGGAAGTCATCACCGGTGCTCTTCACAAGTGCGCCGTGCGCTCAAAGTAGCTTTGTGCATGCGTCCCTTGTCCTTGACCCACCTTTGACCCACCTTTGACATTTGGTGGGCAGTCAAGCATCTCAGTTCTGGGAGCTAAGCCTTAAACCTGGCAGGCCCTGCACACAAAGCCTGAAACCACAAGAACCTTGAGTGCCTAAACCGACAAGCGCCGACAAGCTGGAAAATCTTGAGCCGAACCCATGCGTGGCCCAGAGCCCACCGTCGCCGCAGTAAGGGCCTCGAGCTCCGCCTCAACAGCGTGAGTTTTTCTTTCACTGGCCAAGAGATGCTTTTTACTGTGTTTTCAATTTCTTCTGAGTGTGCTTGTCGAATGTGCTTGAGTTTGTTGAGTTCATGGTCAAAAGGCGGTTAAGTCACAGGGGGCAGGATAGCTTGCCTCGTACAGCCTTACACGGGTTTTAT